ATTTAACGGCTATTTATACTTGATCCACATTCTAGCACAAATTTGAGATTCCTAGCTTGGTGATGGGGTTTGGCTAGCAAAAAAGGTCCTTAATTCTTAGAATTATAATCAAGTTTCATCAGAATTACCAATTTTCAGTAAAAGCCTAAATTTTCAAATGTGATCTACATACATCCTTATGTTGAGGGTATTTAGACTAACAAAACATTATTTTCTAAGAATTAATCAGAGATGATAAACTTGTTTAATGGCTTTGAATCTTATAATCAAGATATATTTCAACAATTAAAAAATTGTCAATATTTACACACAAATGAATAAAGTAATATCAACATCTATAAAACAAAATTGTAATTGTTTTAATGGTACGAGTATAAAACAAAAATTATAATCAAGATATATCTCAACAACTGAAAAAATGTCTTCTTTACATACAAATACAATAATTTAATATCAACAGTCATAAAAAAATAAAAATAAAAGTCTTTTTTTAATGGTATAAACACAGAAAGATTAGTTTTTTATGCATGAAAAATGAGAAAATTAAACAAAAGATTAAATCTAAGAGTAAAAACAATACACAGAGTACATTACAAATTAAATAATAATAAAAAAAATAAAAAACAAAAAAAAAAAGAAAAAGAAAAAGAAAAATTATACCATATAATTTTGTGGAGTGCTGATGTCGCGATGAATGCACCAATCATTTGGAAGCCAATCAGGCCACTTTTGATAATTCTGATTATCAACCACGACATCATCCCATGAACATTTTGGTTCCGCCATATTCTTCTCGTTGAAGCGATTCTTTGTTTCTTACACTACTCAGTCACACTTTATGCTAGTGATATCTATTTTGCTTTAGCATTTATGTATTAGTCACGTTGATTTTATGTCTACTAGAGACGTCGAGCTCATAACGGTTATTAATACCACGAACCTATTTATGTTTTCCAAGGAAATGAGGGATAATATGGACCGGGGTATATGATATCGTACAAGAAATGCAATGCTTTGCTGTATATGTCATATAAGGTAGAATATCATGTAAAAGAGATGTGTTCATAAGAATTATTGGAGTACTTAATTCGATTGATTTATGAGTGGAAAATATCATATATGATTCGGGTAGATCAATTCATTGGACTAGGTGGATTAAGTATGTTGATATTTATTGCTGGCTATATCAAATTGGCTCAAACCATTTGTGTGCAAATGATTCGATAAGATACTACTCCATTGGTGTTTAGGGTAAAAATACCCTAAGACACGTGGCCCAATAAAGGCCTGCCACGTGTCAAGCTTGCAACGGTCAGCAAAGGCCCAATCCCTTTGCGACACGTGTCATTTTTACCCTAATTGAGATACAGTTCTCCCTACTATAAATAGTAAGGGCAGACCTCATTAATGGGGATCGAATCATTTTCCCACAAACCAACAAAACACAAATCCCCTTGCAAACGCTCTCAAATCGAGAAGCATTTATTGTCTTATTTCCACATTTAGAAAGAGACTAACTTAATCTTCGGAGGCGGAACACCCCAGCCCCAGCCGGAGTATTCCGTTATTTGTGCAGGTACAGGCGAAGGAAGGAGCATACTAGGAAATTGTAACTCTCCCGTAGGACACATAAAAAAAACCCAAACAATTGGGAAAAATAGTATACATGTATGTATAATTAGTTTAACTTTTCAAAACAAAAAAAATAAAAAAAATGACAAAGAATAAAAAAAAAAAAAGAGGGACAATGTATTAATATAGCGCTTGAAAAGAGGGAATGATGATTAAAAATTGGAATGGAGAAATTTAATTAGTAGAATCTTATTAAAACATTGTTTAATAAAGAGAAAAGCGTAATAAATGTAGACACATTTATAAGTGGGACCATGTGTTAATAATCTCTATCCAGTAGTAATTAAAGATGGACAACCTAAAAAATGAGGATTCGGTCCATAAACAAGGCCCAAAGAGGTCCATACTAAACCAATTAATGATACATACGACTAGTAATTAGTGGAAATAACTATTCTACTTTATGGAGTGATCATCTTTTCTTTTTCTCTTTCTAACGTGAGACACTCGTAATTAAGACAAAAAAAAAAAAAAAAACCTACAAAATTCACCGAATAATGATATAAGTAGAATTTTTTTTACATTATACTTCGTATTTATAAAAAATTTAAACAATAAGTCATGTGTGTGACTACATTTGTTTATAACAATAATACTTATTCATTTATATGAGTAACCTCATTTACAAGTATAAGGGTAATAACCTTATTTTGTCTAACTCATCATAAAAGTAACATAAATTGATTACAAAAAATAAAGTAATCTCATTTGTTCATTTGGATAACCCTTTTTATATTTTGTTTTAACTATTACAAGAATAATTCCCTTTGTTTATATGTGTAACTTCATTTTTTCGTTGTATTGACTCCCATCTATACAGCCAATACAAGTAACCTCATTTGACTTATGTTAATTATATGTATGTAAAGTGGCCACACCATGTGTCTGGCCATGTATATTATTCGAGTAACCCCTGTTATATTTTATTTTAACTATTAAAATAATCATTCCATTTGTTTATATGTGTAACCTCATTTTTCCGTTGTATTGACTCCCATCTATACAGCCAATACAAGTAATCTCATTTGTTTTATGATAATTATATGTATGTAAAGTGGCCACACCATGTGTCTGGCCGTGTATATTATTCGAGTAACTCCTCTATATTTTGTTTTAACTATTCCAAGAATAATTCCATTTGCTTATATGTGTAACCTCATTTTTCCGTTGGATTGACTCCCATCTATACAGCCAATACAAGTAATCTCATTTGTCTTATGTTAATTATATGTATGTAAAGTGGTCACACCATGTGTCTGGCCATGTATATTATTCGAGTAACCCCTGTTATATTTTGTTTTTAACTAATCCAAGAATAATTCCATTTGCTTATATGTGTAATCTCATTTTTCCGTTGGATTGACTCTCATCTATACAACCAATACAAGTACAGTCATATGTTAATTATATGTATGTATGTAAAGTGGCTCACCATGTGTCTAGCCATGTATATTATTCGGGTAAGCCCTGTAATATTTTGTTTTAACTATTACTATAATAATTCCATTTGTTTGTATGTGTAATCTATTTTTCCGTTGGATTGACTCCCATCTATACAACCAATACAAGTAACCCACCATGTGGCTTGTATATTATTTGTGTAATCCCTGTTATATTTTGATTTAACTATTACAAGAATAATTCCATTTGTTTATATGTATAACTTCATTTTTCCGTTGGATTGTCTCCTATTAGGCCTGTTCACGAATCAGATATCCGATCCAAAATGTGATTTCGGATCGGATATCCGAATACTCGGATACCAAAAACTGATAACCAAATTCGATCCGAAAATTTCGGATATCCGAATATCGGATATCCAAAATTTCGGATCGGATGCTTCGGATATCCATTATCCAATATTAAGTAAAATTGATTATGATTACTTTCCAAATTTCACTAATTCTATCGCTTTTTTATCATTAAGTTGTACAACATATTTTAACAAAATAGTAGTCGTTTTGCAATAAAAATTATCATTAAATATATTAAGAATATTATAATAAGTTAATAATACAGGGCCAGTTTTATATGAACAATTAAAAAAATTTATACTTCCTCCGTTCTTTTTTACTTGACCCGTTTTGACTTTTTACACTATTCACCACCCCTCTTTTGGACGTTTTTTGTGAATAATATGTAAGGAAAAACATATTCATATTAGATCTTTTTGAATTCGTCTAAATAAGTACTATCATAATATATAACTTTTAAATTTTTTACTTATGGAAAATTAAAATTATTGATTGTTAGAGTTTTGCATTGGCAAGCGTGATAAAAGAAACAGGTCAAGTAAAAAAAATCAGAGGAAGTATATATTTCACTATTTTAGCTTTTATATTTCGGATATTGGATATCCGAAATTTTGAAAATCAATATCCAAATCCGCATCGATATCCGCTTTTTAGGATCGGATATCCGATCCGAAATGATAACTCGGATCGGATATCCAAAAATTCGAATCGGTTACGGATTGAATTATCGGATTTTCGAATTCTCAGATAGTTTTGTACAACCCTAACTCCTATCTATACAACCAATACAAGTAACCTCATTTATCTTATTATTATTATTATAGGTACGTAAATAAAGTAGTCACATCATATGGTTGGCCATGTGAATTTCAAATGGAAAAAAAAAAGAAAAAAAAATAAACTTTTAATCAAAAATTGAGAGGAATAAATAGGACTTGTGGGAGCTTATGAATACTATACATAATGCCAAATTTGAATTTAGCCAATGCCAATGAAGGCTTTTCTTTTATACAAAGTTAAAAAAAAAATGAGGGTATGTCGTTCGCTTATTTCCATATGAGAGTTATTAGAGAAATACAGAGTAGAGATTATGTTGTTCTTTTCCATATGAGAGTCATTAAAGAGAGGTGATCAATTTACCAAGGAAAAATTAGGAACAATGGATTTCTCACCTATAACTGTATAACATCAAATCAACTGTAGCATATGCATGTATCCCTCGAATTAGTATGACATTAAAATTTCGATTTATATATTTCTAAATAAATCATTTATACAATTATACCACGATCTCTGTTAGGAAGAGATTATTGTCACTTGGTTTTTCATGTTTATACTCTGTAGTTTGTCGACTTTGGTCTTGAATTCCATTTGACAAAGAATGAAGATGGAGTAGAGGGGCGATATTCTATACACAAGAGAGTTCCCCAAGATTGGTATAGGAGCAAGGTCAAGCTATAAAGATAAGATAATAAGGAAAAATGCTTGCTCTAAACAAGCAATGTGCTAGAGCCATCTCCAAAATCATGCCTTTGGAACAATCTCTTGGGATATTTTGGAAATTTCACTAGAATGGAGGACATTTTTGTCATTACGAGTATAGATCTGCTACTATAAAGAAACATAAAAAGAACATTAAGAACCAAGGCTCTGTAACTTCAAAATGCAGGAAACTCAAATTACTATGTTCTATTAACAAAAGAAAACTAGCTAAATTTCAATCTAACTAGTCCTATTGGTCAAAAGAACCATGCACCATGAATGTTAAGATTATTCACAAAAATTCAGCTCAAAAAGAAGCAAAGGGAAAGACACTATCACACTATATAAAAATGGTTCACTTCTGTGGTTTGTTAGTATGTTTAACTAGCCTTTTTAACCCCACAATCGAGAGAGAAAACTCTCAGAATAATGCTCCGTTGCTACCATTTGGTAAAGAGAGGTAAGCAAAAGCTGCACTCCATTCTTGCTTGGCAGATTCAGGAACCCTCTCAACGCTATTGGTCAAGGGCCTCCACGTCCCTTCATAGATATCTGACAAGACCCATTTCACCTTCGCCGGGGCATCATGAAAATTGAAGTTCTTCCAAGAAACTTTTGCCTTTGACTCAGCCTTCTTCCGCTTAGGGGTGGCAGAGTCAGGTACAGGCTGCAAAAGCAACATCAAAGCTATTATGAGCACCAGGACACCAGGTTTCTGATAACCTGACTTGGGCAGATTATGATAATAGTCAATGCCCTGTATTTTTCTTTAGTTCCTAAAGCAGATTATGTTCAACTTACCGAACCATTAGCATCATCTGTTTTATTCTTTCTCTTCATGGAACTTCCTGTTTGGATAAAGTGGAGCACTTCCTTCTTTGACCTGAGCCTTTGCTTTGTCGCTTTCTCTATATAGTACTGCCAAGGACGAAGACCAAGTAGGTTAGCTCACAAGAGTCAATATTAGCCCCAAAAAGGGGAAGAAGAGACAAGGAGAACAATATATTGGCATATAAATACAGAGACAGTCAGGAGTAGAACATAATTTCAACATATCAGAAGAGAAACCTCTTGCTTTGTTTGCACAAAGACCAAGTTGGAGTAAAGATGAAATTTAAGAGCAAATGGCACAGAAGAGTATAAGTAGAGAATATAGTAATGTGTATGTGCCCTAAAAATAACCTTGAGAGAGATGCTCTTTGTTCCTACCAGCAGCTGATAGCATCGACTAAATTTATATAGCTTTAAGATGACGTCATAGTTTCAATTAATGCCATGAGCCTTTCAGTTCGTTGGTTCAGATACAAAGCTAGAATTAATCATACCTTTATAAGCACTCATTAGCTTAGATATAGATCCAGAAACAATTAGTCAACATAAAGTGGAACGCCAAAAGTCCACAACGTTGATCAGCCAATCAAAATCAGTTCTACCCATTGGTTCAAGAAGTGTATAGATATGCATTCAGTACAACCAATAACGATAGTTTACAATGAATCTGTAGAGAAAGTAGAATCTCGAACCTATTATTCCCAATCTGCAAGTATGAATGCACTCTACTCTACACTATGGGCATTTGGATGCTAATCATGAACCCTTTAGTCAAAAGTTGCACATAGGTCTTGTTCTTTACACTTCAAAAAAGTAAATTTCAATCCAGATCAGATTTATATGTTCAGTTCAGGGCTAATTAATTCAACCAAGTTCTGTTTAGAGCTAATAAGTTCATTTCAGTTCAATTCAGGGCCAATAAGTAAATAAGTTCCATTCAATATATGATGAATAATTCAGTTCAATACATGACTAATATGCTCAGTTCAGTGCAGTACATCACTAATATACAAAATTATTGCCTAGAGGCCCTAGACCCTGTAAATATTGCAAGTGAAATCTATATTATCCCCTAATGTTTGCATAATCATTTAAATTTCTCTTTTTTCAACCAATGATCCCCCTTGCTTGGATCTAAGCAATAACAACAACAAATCCTTAACTCGCATGTGACTGTGTGAGTATTAATTTGTGACATTCACAGTGTGTCTGAAGCCCATAAAAAGAAGGAGAGTTGCGCTAGGTCTGTGGCAGCCAGTGTAAAAACTTAGTCACGTGATCTTATGGATCTAAGCAACAGATGTCAAGAATATTACCTAGACCCTCTAAATATGTTCCTTTCACATTTATAATAGTGCAATGCTTATCTATGGCTGTTGAGGACTATACATCTTCTACTTTATTAGTGAAATCACACTGTCACAATTAAAGTTATGGCAGGTAATTCACCAAAATTATGGCACCATAACATTTATGGAAAAATAAGGAGCAAACTAATGTAAAATCAAGTTTTAAATGTATTTTTGAAAAGCAATGATCTTTTAACAATGTCTGATCTATAAGACGAACCAGGTTTGGCAAACACCTAGTTAAGGCAAGTATCAACTTAGTAAAAGCCGGCCCTAACATCTATGGTGTTTACAAGTTAAAACCAATATTTTTGGATGTATAAAAAGATGTATAGATAAATCAATGGTCTAAAAGATTTGGAAAAGCCAGTGTTGCTTTTTGTATATGATTATTCTTGTGACCCTTGTCTAATTAATAATTACTCTCCAAAATTTATTTCAAAACACGCTCCTCCAAAAACTAATGTGATTACAAGGGAAAATCAATGACTTTCATGTTATCAATCAGATTCAAGAAAATGAACTGAGAAAGATGTATTACTAGGGTAATAAAAGCCAAACTTAAGAAAATGAATGTGAATACAAGGAAAAATGAGAAGAGTGATGGTGTGACTGTAAGAGAATTATGTAGTGATAGGGTGATGAGAGGTAAAGAAAAGGGATTTGTTACCCTCATTTTGAGGTTATAGTTACACTAGGGGGAGGATGGGTAATTATTACCCTCATTTTGAGGGTAATGATTTCTCCATATCTCTCTATTCCTCGTGCCACAACCACCTTATTCTATTTGTAAAAACCTTACCTCCTTTGAGAATACCTCTAATCAATTATGTTTTTTTTAGTTTGACTTTTAGTACCTTATTATCCCCAATCCAAGATGAACTTCCAAACAAACTGATTTGATCATTTTAAGCCACATTAAGCAGTAAGAAAATGTGAGTAAGTGGAAAACAAATATGGAAAGGAGCACCAAAAATAATCTTTGTAAATATTTTCGAATGAAGAGATTGTTGTTAGGAAAGGATACATACGAAACAATATTCAGTAGATGTAGGACACACAAAATAAGAATCAGGACGGAACAGTAAAGTGAAAATCGTAGAATAAAGGATTTTTTAAAAAAAAAAAAAATAAAAAAATAAAAAAAAAAGGTTCGCAGGATTGAATTCACCTCCGAAAGTCTAAATGCTAGCTCCAAGTCCTCCTACATGATTTTCTGATTACTTTCCATAACTATTCATCTTAACCGAATTTCAGGAGGCAGATACAAAGGCTAAATTCTTCCTCCGTCACTCCAGGGTTGGATTGAAGCAGTGAGTTCCATAATCTCAAGTTCAATAGGGAGTTCTTTATCAATTACTAGATATACAATGATATGACGAAGCATGGTATGCCCTCTACCTAGTTGGGCCATTGACATATGGACTTTCAATTTCACCTTTAAGTACTACCACAGGACATATGACAATTTAACAGGGTATGGGCCAAAAATCTCAGAACAGTTAGAAATTGGTAAAGTACAACTCCATGGTGCACCCATGCCTATATTAGTCATTGAATCCACATTAACATACTGCTCAATATGCATTCCTTGAAGACAGGAGCAACCATGACAAAAAGTGTGTGCTAAGTTATAAACGGCCAATAAAATCCTAGTTCACCTATGAGTAACTTTTTGTAACTAGATTGAAATCATTGAATAGAACCTTAGTGATTAGTGATTAGTGATTAGTCTGATTACCAGCCAAAAGTTTACTTGATAATCTCGTTGAAAATGCTTTCTACTGTTGACTTTGCTTTAACCCTTTAAAGCTTCAAATACATGAGGAGCCAGATTAAGAAGGAAAAAAAATTAAGCTTCAACAACCATGTAACCATAGTATGCAAAGTGCAAAGACTATGAAGCTTCAAATACCAACACATGCAACAATTGCAGAATCTACCAAATGCCAAACTAGTTCACTGAGATTTGGCCTGAATTAAGCTCAGTTAAATGAGTACTCCAATACAATTGAATCTCCTTAATTATGTAATCATCATGAATCCCACGGAACGTGTTTCTTCATCCTGTATAGCCAACCTAATAAGGCATTCCTGATTTACTATCAATAACAGGTCATGATTTACTTCTCCTATGTTAACTCGTGAGCATTTAATATGACACCACAAATCTTATATAACCTGTCCGTCTATCACAAAACAATGACTAACATACCAATTGCTTTCACTTAATTCCGGATCACAACACTACCCTCCCAGAGAAGGAACTTTCAGGCACTACAAGCAATAACTTATTACAAATACTCAATTAAACAATTACCAAGCATGACCTCACTAAGCATAGAACTACTACACTATCATATGAACAAAAAAAAGTAACTCTGGAAATATGTCAATAATATAATGAGTATTTCCCTGGTACAATATAATGCCAAAATAATTATCAAAACTACTCTATCTGTCCCAAAATTTTCTTCAAAAATCACTTTATGCAGCATCCCATAAAAATTTGTAATCTTACATTTTGAGTATTAAGACAACACGAACCAAAGTGTAAAGTTGATTGTTGGGACAAACTCGTATATAATTCTTCCGTTTTTTTTATGCAACACACCTCGTTGACACGCTTTTTTAGAAGTTGTTTAGAGTTCTCCGTATCGATTATATCTCATATGTCTAACGAAACTCAAGTACACAACATCAAGATAATTTTAAAACACTAGAACATCAAGGAATAGCACCAAGAAATAACCATAATTAGATCTGGCAATCGTGTCGTGTCGTGTTCGTTTTCGTGTCAGAAATTAAACAGGTTGGGAAAGCTCAACACTAACACGACCCATTTAATAAACGTGTCGTGTCGTGTTGACCCAATTAATTAATCGTGTCGAAAAGCCTTAACACTAACCCGCTATTTTCGTGTTCGGTTCGTATCGTGTTCGTGTTGAATTGAAAATTATTGATTGTATTCGATATATTTATCAATAATTCCATAAATTATTGGACTTTTATATTAGGCGGGTTGGGTCGTGTTAATTTTGTGTTAAGAATCTCAACGCTAACCCAACCTAACCCAACCTGTATAATTAAATGTGTCGTGTCGTGTCATGTTGACCCGTTTAATTGAACGTGTTGAAACCTCTTACACTAACCCATTTTTTTCGTGTTCGGTTTGTGTCATGTTGTCGTGCCGTGTCTTTTTGCCAGCTCTAACCATAGTCCACAGCTAACAAACACAGGTACACAACATCAATAAACAAAATAATTGAAGATTACCCAATACTCGTACCACAAAGTCACCAACATTTCAATTCAAATTAATTAATCAAACCTTCCCCCAAATATTAAAAGCTCCACTAAATCAAAACTCATAATCTAAAAGAAAAAATTTATCCAATCATAAAACTTAAAAAAAAAATATCAAATTAAATATCAAAAAAAAAAAAAAAAAAGAATACCTTATCGCGAGAACCTTTAGAAGCACCGGAATTCCTAACGCGCTCTTGAACCTCCCAACCAGAAGGCAACCAATCAGGATTCGGCAAAATAGTACAATCGGATGGCTGAGATTCATTCCCCGCAGCAGTTTTTTTACCGGATTTCTTCTTACTCCCATTCGAAGTTACTCCTCCGCCCTTCTCATCGGGAATCTGCGCCGGAGATTCCACCGCAACCGGATCAACGGTTGGAGGGATAAACCCATTTGAAGGAATCGGGTTCGGATCAATGAAAGCTCCGGATTTCAGAAGCGGGTCGGGTTCAAAAAGGCCGAAATCCTCCATTAGAGAGAGAAAGAAGAGAGAGAATTCTGGGGTTATTGAAAAAAGAGCTGGAAATTTATTGGTGTAAATATGAATTAAAGGGGAGTATTAAATAGGAAGGTGTATGTTTTGGGGGGAATGTCGAGGAGAAATTAAGTGGGGTTTAAAGGAAGAAGAAAGAGAAGGATCTACTTCACTGTTTATTATGTCTACAAATAGAATGGAATATTTTTAGGATTTTCCTAAATTATTGCTAATTTTGAGATGAATATCAGAAACGATCCGTTCAAAAAAGATTAATAAGGGGTGGTTTGTTAGGAGGGTATCTAGAGCAATCTCCTAAAATGTACGCCTCTTTATCGATTTGATGAGGAAGCTTCATAAGCTCAAAATATCACGGATATGGAATCGGATATTTATCGGATTACTGTTATGGAGTTGTTGGGCTTATCACTGTGGTAAAGATATTCTTAGAATGTAAACTTTAATTTTTATTGAAATATTAGTGAAATGGCAAGTGAACGTGGTCGGAATGATGCATCTGTTATGAAACAGAGGAAGTATGAAGCAACAACAATCAACACAACCACAACAACGCACAAGATGGTATAACCAATTTAAGCTCATTAATTACCCGCTAATTCAAGCTCGTCAATTATCCGCCAATTCAAGCTCATCAATCACCCGCCAATTCAAGCTCATCAAAATTACCTGCCAATTCAAGTTTATATTTTACCCGCCAATTCAAGCCGGCCAAAGTTTATAAATTACACGCCAATTAAAGCTCATCAAAATTACTCCGCCAATTCAAGTTTATATATTACACGACAATTCAAGCTCATCAATTACCGCCCAATTCAAGTTTATCAATTACCCGCCAATTCCAAGTTATACAAAGGCAGTTAACTTGCTTATTGAGCAAGGTCCTGAAAATGCGGCGACAATTAAAAGATTTTCAGATAAACTAAAGCTTTTTCAATAGGGTCGCTTACTCTTTCCATTCCTATTTTAATGCCCATTGCTAATATTTGGGTCAAATTTTAAAATCTTTGACTATAGTCATATGAGATTTTATTGGATTGATTTCATTGTATATTTTATTTGTTTAATTTTTTTCAAATTTTACGCGTTCCTTCATAAGTTAGTGTACATAAGCAAGCTAAAGTTTGATTAAAACAAAGAAAAAAAAATTAAAAATTCAGATCAAATTTGGCTACTTCCTCCGTTACATATTAGTTGCAAATTTGAAGTTTTATTTTTGAGACATATAAAATTCAAACATATACTTATTAGTTTGACTAACTCCTCTTAGGCCCTTTTTGGTTGGGAGGAAAAAAAAAGAAAGGAAAAATATGAATTCCTATGTTTGATTCTAAAAATTAAATGAAATTTGATAGGAAATGAAGGGAAATGGAAGAAAAGCTCCCTTCACAAAATCTTTCCTTTCCTTTCCTTTCCTTTCCTCCCAAAATCAAAGGAATTTGAGAGGAAAGAAAAAAAATTAAATCTTTTAAGATTAAAATTAGCTTTCCCTTCCCTTTCCTTCATTTACTAATGTCGTACCAAACGATAGTTTCTTCTCAATTCCCTTTCTTTACTAATTTCAAACCAAATATTGGATGATATAATTTTTTTTCCTTTTCCTTCTCTTCTTTTCTTTTCTCTAAGGGGACGCTTGGATTTGGAGTATTAAATTAAGGGGTAATAAAAGTCAAACTAAACAAAATTAAAGTAAACATAGGAGAGGAGGAGCTAGTGATGATGTGATTGTAAGAAGATTTATATAGTGATGGTGTGGTGATAGACTGATAGGTGAAGAAAGGGAACTATTACCCTTATTTTAGGGGTAATAGGTTAGGGAGGGTGGGTAATCTATTACCTTCATTTTGAGGGTAATGATTACTCCACCCCTCTCTTTTCCTTGTGTCACTACAACTTTAATTCATTCATAAACACCTTATCTTCATACAATAATACCTCTAATTAACTATAATTTACGTAATTTGACTTTTATTACCCCTTAATTTATTACCCCTATTCTAGATAAACAAAAGATACGAGTAAACTGGTCCAGAAAAGCCGAAAGAGGAAAGGGAAAAGATAGCCAGGTACTGTAGCAAGGAGAAGTCAAGAAAAACAAAATCTTGAAAGTGTTCATCAATTGAAGTTGAAATGCGAGGAGATCGAGTGATTTTGAAGGCTGTTTTCAACAACACAGTTTTCAGGGCTTTCAGTTCTTCTTCAATTCAGTCATCACATTCAAATCAATTTGGTAGACTCAAACATCTGGGTTTTGATCTTCCTGATGTCTGGCCTTCTGCAACCTTTTCTCAAACTTCCATTACACCTCACTGTAATATTTAATTTTTCTCTCTTATTTTCTTTTTATCGATTAATTGATTATTGGGTATGTTCTAGAATGTTGTTTTAAAGCTTTAAAGAATTGAAATTTGTGAATTTTATGCTTCATTGCGAATTGGGTTGTTTGAATTGAATGATTAGTGATTTTGGGTAAATGGGTTTGCGAAGAATGTTTTGAGTGATCATTAATTTGTACTTGGAATTTGGTTAATTTGAGAGCGTAATTTGTAGAATTTACAACTTTATTCTATTGGAAATTGTTCACTCTTCAGTCTTCATTAGCAGTAGTGTTTTGCAAGACTTATTGATTACTCTGTACTGTGTTTCCAGCCCTTGGTGATATTATCTTGTTTATTACTTCTAAATTAAGAGATGTGAGGAGAGAAGTTGTTTCTAGTATACTAGATGGATTTGTGAATTTTGGACAATTCTACTTTTTTTTTTTTTAGGGTTAGTTGATCGAAATGTGTAACACGGTTTTGCCATTTCTTGGGCCGAGGCTCCAAAATGTTCACATATGCAGTGAAGAGTGGGATAAATGCTACTAAAAAGTTGTTGTTTTGTTAAGTTCATTATGACCTTCTTTTTGGTATATGATCTGGCTCTAGCAACCGTTTAACCATGGGGATGTTTGCGCGAATTGAATGATCTATGGCGTGGTTAATCTCTAGTATCCTAATCTTCTGTTGGTACAATAAGCTCTTCAACGTTCTGATTGATGTGTAAATTGATGAAACTCAAACTCAATGAGAGCAAGGTTTTTATGATAGATCTCATTGCTAATTTAGAATTCCTCAGAAATTGACTTCCTTGGAAGTATTTGAAAGAAAATCCCTTGGCTAACATTTAGTATTGAAGAATCTGCAAATTATACTAGTGTAACTATTGATGTAGAAAGATTGCGGTTAACTATCCCTCTTGCTTGCTTCGGTGCATACTTCGCTATATTTTTGGAACTACCCAATCTTATAGATAGTTTGAAGTTCTATGTTAGCGAGTCAGTCAAGCGATAAACCTTTTTTATTGTCCTCCTGGATTAAAATTCCATGCCGTTTACATGTGAACTAATTAAGCACTTGAAAAGTCTGTGAACAATATATGTTGATTGTTTGCTTATTCTTCAAGAAGAATAAATTGTGTCAATTATGCCATTTGAAGCAGTTGATGGGCCGAGTGCTGAAATCATTGATGGGAAGTCTATTGCCGCCAAAATTAAGTCACAAGTAGCTAGCGAAATTTTAAAGATGAAGGACGCGGTTGGGAAGCAACCTGGTTTGGCTGTTGTTTTGGTAGGTGAAAGAAGTGATTCTCACACTTTTGTCCGCACCAAGATGAAGGCTTGTGATGAAGTTGGGATTTCTTCGTCTGTGATTGAACTGCTTGCTGACTGTACAGAGGATGAAGTCTTTCATGTTGTTTCGAATCTTAATAAAGACCCATCGATTCACGGTGTCCTTGTGCAGCTTCCTCTTCCAAAAGTAATTTCTAGAACCATCTCATTTTCTTTAGTTTGTTTTTTTGTCTCTGTCGTGTATTAATGAGAATACGTGTGTAGTAGATTTCTTAAGGCATGCTTAATTGAGGGACTTAAACCTATTTGCACTTACTAATATTAACTAACATACAAACCAAGCTCGTAGTGTCAACTTACTAGCTTCCTACAGCTTTGTCTGGGTTCTTGGGGGTGGAAAGTGGAAGTTCATAACTATAACTAAATATAGTCACGTTCACACCTCATGGAAGCACTAAGTTAAAAATTGTTTCGCCCCACTTTTAAAAAGTCTATACTTAGTGAGTAATCAATCAAGTTGTGTTAATGCCATAACTGTTATATCAACTGACTGTTAAATCAAGCAAGTTTCTTATGTTCTTTTATTGGGTAATACCATATTTTTGGGTTCATAGCTATTAAATCTTCATTAATTTTTGGTGCTGCTAGGGTTTGTTGGATCATTTATGGAGTAACATTCATTGGCTTCTGCTAACTGGTGACCTGTTTTGCTCAGCATTTGGATGAGGAGAAGATTCTGAATGTTGTTAATCCTGAAAAGGATGTCGATGGTTTTCATTCCTTCAATATGGGAAGTCTTGCAATGAAAGGAAGGGAGCCCTTTTTTATTCCATGCGCAGCCAAAAGTTGCATTGATTTATTGTTGAGGTCTGGTGTTGAAATCGCGGGAAAGAATGCAGTTGTGATTGGGCGAAGCAAACTTGTTGGATTGCCTGTTTCATTGTTGCTACAGGTACTTATTTCACATAACTCGGTATAAAATTTATGCGTCGTTTGTGGAAGATGAATTTACGGATAATGTTAATTTCATTTTTCTGGAAGAGGCACCATGCCACAGTGAGTGTTGTGCATTCATTCACCAAGAACGCACAAGAATTAACTCGTGAGGCAGAGATAATCATCACAGATGTAGGTGTGCCCAACATGATTCGAGGCAATTGGTTAAGATCAGGTGCAGTTGTTATTGATGCAGGAACCAATGCAGTTAAGGTAAAACACTTGCAACTTCCTACAGCCAATTGAAAAATATTACGGAGTACTGCATTATTTTGTTTCCATTAAAACAAGTGTGGCCTTGTAGAGTTGTGTTGTAGTTACAGAGTATTACTTCCTGGTACAAATTATGGCTGTTTATCAATAATAGCTGCTATTTATGTCAAGGTCATGTTGCTTAGATAATGTGCCGGGCCAAGGTGGGCTTTGGCAAAGTTTGGCCTGTTTTCGGCTTGGGAATATTGCTATATAAGGTATAAGCCAAAGTGGACTAAAATTTTCCATTGGGGTCAGTTGCGCCCAAAAAATTTCTCCTACCCAATTGCAACGGGAAATTCTGTCCCCAAAAATATCGCCGGCCAGTTTGATACTTTGATGAGCTCTATGTTCAAGGTGGCTTACGTTGTTTGATACACTGAAATGTATCTGTGCTTTGCAGGACCCAAATAGGAAAAATGGGTTCCACGTAACTGGTGATGTATGCTTTGAAGAAGCTGTAAGGGTGGCATCTGCTATTACCCCTGTTCCGGGAGGTTTGGGACCTGTAACAATCTCCATGCTGCTCTCGAATACTCTCGATTCTGCTAAACATGCTTATGGATTTGTCTAAGGTCTGATCAGTATGTATTCTCTAAGACACAGCACCTGCTACTTCAGGCTTTACTTGTATTTAGGATTCATTTTGTTGAACTCACTTGTTCTTTTTGCCGGGACTCTTAGTTGTGGAGGCTATTTAGGTTATTTGTGTCAATCTGTAGTTCTACTGATCCTCAGTCGAGGTTCTCTATGCAATTGTAGGAATCAATAATACTTGCTTGGTTCTCTCAAGTGGCTGTAGAGTATAAAGCTTATAGTGGCATTAGTGTATAAGCGCGAGTTTCTCAGTGCAATGGCAAATATTGAGCTGTGCTGGTGACTGGCAGTAAATATACTAGTGTAGCCCGGAAATGGTAAAGGTAGTTTCAAGCTTTCAACCTTGGCCAAAGGTCATATGCAGGAGTCGAATTGGATACTTAACTAATCCTGCTGAGGATTCAGAACATAGATTATGTGTATTGATCCAGTACTAAGCTTGACATAAGAATCATCATGGAAAGTTTTTACAGATGACATAAGAACCCTCATGCAAAGTTTTAACCGATGATATCTTCTAACATAGCAAAATACATATGGTGACGGGCTCATCACTCAGCACCATTAAGCTAGTTTTGTATGGAGGAATCAAATCATTTTAGTCCATTGCTTATAGCTTACTCTTTTGCTTTCATGTTGTTTGTTTTAATCATATCCGCAACAACTATGTAAGGACTATACTCCCTATTTTTGGTGCCTAGTCATTCAATGGTTCTGACCTCTCCTTGTCAATTCGGTTTTAGTTAGTTTGTTTTTCATTTAAAAAGTCCTTGTTGATAGTGGAGTTGGCATATTTCATAGACAGCATTTTCCTTTACAGCAAAGGTCTCAATTCTTTTAGGACATTTTGTCCCATCCTATGACTTTCCCATATCCTTTAAAATTTTCCTTTTTAATACTAGATCCTTAACGAAAGTGCTTGTAAATTTATCGATCCTGAACAGAACTTATTGTCTTAACAAGGATATCAATTAATTAAATTATTCGAACCTCATCATTCTCTATTATAGGAAAAGAAAAACTCCCTTATCCAAAATTTAACTTAAGTAATGGAAAAGTAAATGATGGAGTACTAAATTGACCATTAATTGATTAAAATCCATGGATAATTGTATTCACCCTTTTGACCCCGTACGTCAACTGACGCTTAAAATACCTGAATGTCTTCCTCTAGATGCTTCAACCCGCAATCAAAGAACATAAACCCACAACTTATCAAACTTTATCACGTGTAAATTCTCAATCACTCTCCTTGACGTGTCTTTGTCTCTCCACACTACCCTCCATTATTGACCTCTAAAAGAACAAATACCTTCACATTTCCTCCAAACAAAAAACTCCTCACCTTTATTCCCCTAACCTAAAATGACGAATCAAATCCACTTCCTTCTCATTTTCTCTCTCCTCCTCTTTTCCACCGCCACTTCCTCCTTCATCGGCGTCAACTTCGGCCGAGTCGCCGACAACCTCCCACCACCTTCCTCCGTCGCTAACTTCCTCACTTCCCAAACTACCCTCACCTCCGTCAAACTCTTCGACTGCGACCCTCAAATCCTCCAAGCTTTCGCTAACACCAACATCTCTCTCACTGTCAACATTCCCAACGCTAACATCATCCCTCTCACCGACCCTTCCGCCGCCCAATCATGGGTTTCCTCCAACATCCTCCCTTACCATCCTCAAACCATCATCCGCTACATCGCGGTCGGTAACGAAGTTCACTTCTCCGGGGACAAAACCCTCATAGCGAACACTGTCAAAGCAATGGAGTCAATTCACCAAGCACTACTAACCTCGAAAATAACCGATATCAAAGTTACCACACCACACTCTCTCGCCATCTTACCTCCTTTGATGTCCCCGAGTTCTGGACACTTCCAGAAGGGGTACGACCACGTGTTCTTCGGCCCGCTGCTGGAATTCCACAGAAAAACTAAATCACCTTTCATGGTTAACCCCTACCCTTACTTCGGGTTCAATGCTTCAATGATTGAATTCGCTATATTCAAGAAAAACGACGGCGTTTTGGACAAGGCAACTGGGTTAAAGTACTACAACATGTTTGATTACTTGATGGATGGGGTTTACTCTGCTATGAAAAGGTTGGGTTATGATGACGTGGATATAGCTGTTGGTGAAACCGGTTGGCCCTCGGCCGGTGATCCGGCTACTGAACCGGCGGCTACTCTGGATAATGCGGTTTCTTATAATGGAAATTTAGTTAAGCATTTGAAGTCTGGTAAAGGAACTCCTTTGATGCCGAATCGTACTTTCGATACTTATATTTTTGCTCTGTTTAATGAAAATCTTAAAGAGAGTGTTAGTGAGAGGAATTACGGTTTGTTTAGACCGGATTTTAGCCCGGTTTATGACGTCGGGGTGTTGAAGTCGCCTTCTCAGGTATGGGTATTTTCGTCTTTTTACTTCTTGTTTGTGGTAGCTGCATTGATTACTAAGCTGACATTAAAAAAAAAAACCGCCCTTTGTAGTTTGTACAGTAAGGTGTAGGGTAAGCTACTTTATTAAAACAGTTTTTTAAAGTTTCAAAGTAAAGGGTAGTATTGTCATTTCATGTCTTTATTGGAAATTGTTTTCCCGGGTTTCTGTACCATGGTCCATGGGTTCCATCCATTTAAAACGGGAACTTTTTCCCTAAATTACATAGGATCTCACTAATTTCTGTTTTGAATTATTTGCAACAATTAGAATTTTTAACTCACATATTTTATTTAAATTATTGTAAATAATTTAAACCAGACATAATTTTATATAATATTACTCATATTAATTTAGATGTCACTAACTGAATTGATGGATGATTTAATGTTGCCCAATTGAATTGTTTTTTAAATTGAATTTTAGGCGGGAGGACCCACAACGGCTCCATCACCAACGGAATCAGGTGGGAAATGGTGTGTGGCAAAACCAGATGCTACTGATGATAAATTACAAGGAAACTTAGATTATGTATGTAGTTTAGGAATCGACTGTAAGCCAATACAGGATGGTGGGCCCTGTTTCGATCCCAATACTGTTAGATCTCACGCATCTTACGCGATGAACGCTTACTACCATATCAACGGTCAGCAAGATTCCGATTGTTTCTTCGATGGCACCGGTGTCGTCACCTCTAGTGACCCTAGTATGATCTCTACTCTTACTTGTATATAGTCGCGTTCTTTTCCCCTTATACTCACTATATGTCTATATGAATCATGTTTTGTGTTTATGCATAACTTTACTTTAATCATGATTGTTTTTAGAAATTGCGAGTAATATTTTGAAAATTGGTATTGAGGAACGTCTACCGAGAAAAATGTAGTCTTATTACTTTTGACTACCATAGTTTTTTAAAATGGATGGTTGAGATTATTTGGTTTTTGATTTATTTTTAATTAGTAATTTTAATTAAAAATAATTTTTAAAATAATTTTCAATATATTTTTATCTTTTAGAAAATTATTTTTTAATATTTTAGAAATTTTGGAAATTAAAAAAATATAAAATAATTAAAAAATAATTTTTAATTAAAATTACTGATTAAAAATAAATTAAAAAACAAATAATCTCAACCGTCGATTTTAAAAAATTGTGGTGTGATCAAAAGTCTTAAGACTACGTTAGAATTTTCACTACCAAGAAATATAAAATTAGCTTGTTAGTCCAAATGGTGCTAGTAAAAATAAAAGTGTACTTATTTTATTTTGAACTCTAATTTTATTTGTTTTTTCCTCTAATGAAGGCTACGAAGCATGTCAGTATGTGACATAACGACATTGGTGTGATCGTGGGAGCTCCAGAATTACTTATCAGTATTCAAACTATTTTGGGTAGTAGCTCATTAATTTTTATTAGTTAATCATAAAATGTCAGTAATTAGTACTTTAAGATGAGTTGGATGTATTGTAGACTTTGTAGTTAGCGAGAGTATCGCTGCAATATTCTAGCAGATGATACATTATGCTGTTGTGAATGTTACTTTAAATGTATAAAATAAAAATAATTTTAGCATGGTCATGCTACGATTTGATTTGTGTTTGCTATAATGTGTATTGGTTACTTTATTTCTTGTGTTGCAATTACATAGAAGTATATTGGTTTTTTCTTCCCTTATAAGACTCAATCTATTCAATATGAGGGATATATAATAAAAATAAATATAAATTCTAAAGTGTAGATCTTAATCTATTTGAGATAATTTTAAATGAAGTTTTTTAATACTACCTCCGTTAAATAATATGTGCAATAAAATGTGAGTTTGCGGTTGCCAATGCAAAAGTTAAGGGGCAAAGATTAGAGAAAGTTTAAGGAACTTGTAATATGTAATTAGGGTGGAGAGAGAATGTTTGGATAATTAATCAACCACCCACTTCCACCACCAAGACCAGCCAACACCACCCACACCGCCTTCACCACTACCACCCCCACGAAACCACCACCGTTACCACCCCACGAAACCACCACCACCCTCACAAAAACCCACCATCCCCACGAAATCACCACCGTACCACCCACAAAAACTTAGGCCACCACCTCCAAACAACCCCTCATTCGTCTTCCCCTCCCTTTTTCGGTAGCCCCCTCCCCCGTCTTTCCCTCCTTTTTCCGGCAGCCCTCTCCCTAACCTAAAACCCCAGAAATCTAACCCAGAAATCCCAAACCCAAAAACCCAGAAATTGTCACCCAACACCCAGAAATTGTCACCCACATCACCTAAAACCCATGCCCTATAACCCTAATCCAGAAATCCGACCATCATCATCACCTTCAATCGAAATCAAAACCCAAAAAATTAAAACTCAGAAAATCAAATTGAAATGTGATCAAATTTCAATAGATAGTGTGATGTGTCAAACAAAATTCAACCTAGAAAATGATAACGAAAATAAAATATATTCAAAAGATGATACTCCGTACTTAAATACCTTGAATACCTTAATAAACATGTTGTTCAACATGGAATCTATACAGAAAAAAGTACAAAAGCATGGTGCCCAAGCCAGTTGCTATGACCAATCATCTTCGTCGAGAGAACATATTAGGCACATGTATCAATTAGGAAGCTCAACAATTTAAAGAGCAAGCCCAGACATTAAATCATTATATGTCATAGGACCGCGACAAGTAGTACGTGTCTCTAAAAACCATCTGCTTATACAAAAAGTGTGAAATCTATGTCCGCAGTGCCTCAAAATTGTTACAGGAAAACTATTACGTATAACTTCACTACCTCCTTCTATCGGCTCCGTGTCAAACGACTCAAAACTATCTAAACAAATCGCACAATCCAAGCAACTTTGAGTAATTTCATTTATCCTCTCTTCGTCAATTTGCATCATTACTGGATCCTCTTCGAAAAAGTAGCCGCTTTGGATTTGGATCGTGTTGGTGGTAGGCATTGCACGCAAAGTAGGCATAGCTTGGTTTTGAGCATCATTGTTACAACATTTGCAACAACAATTTATTAAAATTACTACGAACAATAAACCAACAAAGAAAACGAGATTCATTAGTTCCATTGTTGTGTGCTAGGTCTCTCTACCTTCTATACAACACATATATAGATATTCAACCTTGATAAGTTTTTTAATACGAACAAACAAGCCCCCTATTCAACGTATATACAGTATATTTGTAGTATAATTAAAATCCTTGCTATTCAAGATATTATTTTAAAAAAAATCTCAATGATACGAGTAGGATTTATTATGAGTGCAAAACGTGATATAATTTGGAATTTGAGAAGTTTTAAGATTGTTTTGGAGTATTTATTTTGTATATCTTAAAAATAATTAAGACACATGAAAGATATTAGAGTTGGTAATTTTTGGATCTTAAAAATAAAATAAATATGAAAATTTTATAGAACCTTATATTTATAAGAACTATAAGAATTAAACAACTATTTCCATAAATATTATCATAAGCCTATCAGAAGAATATTAATTAGCACTTATCTTTTCATTAAAAAAAGATAAATAATCAAACTTTGGTGAAACTAAAAACAATTCATGTCTAGTGTAAAGAATAAAATTGATAAAAAAAAAACCTACACACTTCTATCAATGAATCAAGTTTACTTGATAAAAAACCGACCGTTTATTTTTTCTGTTTTCTTTTAAATAAACACTTCTCATTACACGTTTGTCAATATATTATTCCAATCATTAATATCTTTAATAATAATATAAAAAAAAATTTAAAAATTTGATATTAATAAACTATATAGATAGTGTTAAAACTCTTTAAAGTGTTTCTCCGCATAAAACATTAAAACTCTTTAAAGTCTCCCTACTCTTTCAATTCCCTGTCCATTCACCCCCACATCCTCCATTAACAAATTATCAATTAACAAAAATTAAAAATCGTGTTTTTGCAATTTGATTTCACCAATCAACTAACCTGGTTGATTATATGGGAGTGAACGAAAAAATAGAGGACAAACCAAAGTTACGTTGCTGCCAAATCCATATTAATAACAGTGCTATTCAATAACTTTAAATAAAAATTGATCATTAACTATCGCCAAAAAAAGAAAAAAAAATCAATTAAATTTGTATACAACATTGTGCCAATCAAAATTGCCTACAAAAAAAGGGACGGATGGGATATATAAGCACATTACACGGGTAGTAATTAACTTAAATTTTCATTCTTAAATAAAAACTTATAATGATTTAATTTCTTACATTGTTTTAAAACATTTAACAATGATAAATAACTTTTGACATCAATATACATATAATATTAAAGTTATTTTGTTTTAATTGAAAACATAGTGTTTTTTTTTTTTTTTTTTTTTTTTTTTGCAAATTATTGTAAATTAACATTGTAATTCATAATTAAATTATGTAAAACCGTGCATTACACGGTACTTAAGCTAGTTTTAAGGAAATTGAGTTGTGGGTAATTGGAATGATAAAATATGACTATCAATGTTATTTGTTCATATGATTTCAAGCAAAGAAGATGATGGAGAGGATACCCTGTAGAAGATATAAGCCAAATCAATGAAAAGAAAAAGGAAATTGCGGAAAAATATTATAAAATAGAGAAAAATTAATGAAAATCTAGCTATGATTTTTTTTTTTTTTTTAAAATTGAAATATCATGCCATGTTATGTAGCTAAAGATTCAAGAAATTGATATACAAATGCGACAAAGAGGACACGTTTGGTGCTTTCTTAGCCATCTCTGAATACCAAAACTGTGAAACCTATGCCCACATTGCTCCAAAACCTTAACACAACCATTTTTAACATCATGGTCGTTTTTTACAACGTCAAAACTATCCAAACATATTACACAATCACAGCAACTCAGAGAATTTTGCAAGATTTTCTCCACGTCTAACGTTATTGATTCCACATCATGCTTGGGCTCCAGTTGGACTTCCCCTAGACGTCAAGGTTGTCCTGGGTTGACTGATATACTTTGGACTTCCCGAAGGACTCGACCTTGAGGTTGTGTTGGGTTGGCAGACACATGAACAACACCACCGTAGGGGCGATTCTGGCTGCAGCAGCTGTAAAAGCAGGAAAATATGAGATAGGAGATACTGATAGCGCCGCACATGGCTAACGTTAGATAAAACATAAATAAGAAAATTTCCCAGCCACTCATCTCCTGATCCATGATTTTTTTATATGCTAAAGAATTAAGATAGAGTTTCTTCTTCAAAAAAAAAAAAAAAAAAAAAAATTAAGATAGAGTACTTCTGAATTTTTAATCTTGAAGGTATTCACCTTTTTTAGAGTTCTAATAGAACAAGGAGTATTTCCTTTAACATCAGGATAAACTTTTTCAGGCTTCAGCCTATAAAGCCCTTTTCGGTCCGGACTTAATTTTACAGTTCATATTCTAAACAGGTAATTTCTCACATTTTATAAGATATCTATTAACAAAATTTCCTTGATACTTACCGTAACAATGTACCATCAAATAAAATCTTGAAGGCACAAAAATTCACTAAATACTACACCCATCATTCAAATGCAAAGAATAATAATAACAATTCAATATCCACCAGCATTCCAAAATTAGTTTGAATAGTATGGAGAAAACAAAACCTAGAAGGAATTCAACTAAAAAAAATCCTACAATGATTTGACTGTTTAAATTAGCGAATTAAGCTGACAAGTCTTAAAGATTCACCTTTTCAAATATTCTTTAACCTGTGGTAAGAGTTTCTTCACTAGTGCAAACCTTAAGATTCAAGAAATTAGGACAGACCTGAAATTAAAGATCAAAGATGTCATCTTCTATCGGCCAGATCACTCAAATCTTCCACCAGCCCCTCGTCCATTTGATTTTACAGCATAATTCCAATATCGTTGTGGCTTTTTATTCTAAAACCAAGCAAAGGATGCAGTTTCCACTCAAGTCCTAAACTGTTCAACAAGCTTAATCAAGCTGTAGGTCTCAGCATCTGGCCTAGCCCCTCCGAGAATCATTCTTCTTAAAAGGTTGGGATTATAGACCTTAGCACGAACATAAGCTTTTATTAAGCAGTTGTACACAAATGTATATCTAGTATAGTTAGCTTGCTTAAGCTCTTCAAACAAATTCTCAGCAGTCTCTACATCTCCGTTCTCGGCAAACATCTCAAGAATGGACAAGGTAGTCTCCAGCCATGGGGTTGATTTTTTCACCTTGCTACTAGTGAATTGCTTCGAGCCCATTTCTATTGTTTTCAATGCTTCCTTGGTCAATCCAGCTTTTAAGCAGCCCAAAGTAAGATGTCTATAGGTTATGGCATTAGGTTTGCATCCATTCATCTTCATCTCTTTAAAAAGACCCGAAACCTTATCAATAAATCCATTCTGGCCATACACAGATACCATGGAGTTATAATGTTCAGTTGATTTCATACCCTCCCGCGATTTTATCTCTTCCCAAAGTTCCTCAGCACGATTCAGCTGTCCAATCCTACCAAATGCCTCTATTGCAAGCAAAAAGCTCTTTGACCTAACATGAGGGAAACCTTGCACAATGCACCAGATCCGATCAATCTCCTGTGCCTTCCCCATGTATCCATACAAAATGATGAGGACATCGAACGTTGACCAATTATTGCCTGTTTTTGACTTCTCGACAGCCTCTACATATGTCTCACATCCACAATACAACCTTGCAACTGCATGTGCAGTCGCTAGAATGCAATATGTAACTTCATTTGGTTCAATGTTTGCCCGCTTCATATCCCCAAAAACTTTCATTAGTCCTTCTATGTTATGATCATTAGCTTCAATCTTCAAGAGAATGTTGAAAGTTGAGACATGAGGGGAAACCTTATCTGCCCTCATTTGAGCGAGGATTTTGGGGATCATTTTCCTACGCCTAGGAGAGGAATGAAGAATAATGAGACGGTTGAAGATCAAGTGAGAGATAGGATGTCCTAATTCTCTCATTGTCTTCATGTACTCTAAAGAAAGCCTGACCACTCCTTTATCCAAGCATGCAATTACAAGATTGTTGTAGAGTAAATCGTTCTGGAATTCAACAGGAATATTAGTAAACAGTCTCTCACCATGAGATATACCGTGAAGTTTAATGGTAAATTCCAGCAGATATGAATAATCCAACTCCTTTGGCCTATATGGCTTCTCTCTAATCACCCACTCCATTACCTGTCAAGCCATAAGATAACTTACATTAATGACAGTCGGCAGAAGGTACTTCTACAATTTGTTTCTCAACTTTAACTAATTACCAGCAATGATCAAAATCATAAAACTCACATCAATGTCAGTTGGCAGAAGTTACTTCTACAATTTGTTTTAAATTTTTACAAATTAGAAGGAATAATCAAACACACAGAATTCAGCAACTAGGTAAAAATGCAAACACTATCATATTCTTAGGGCCAGGTTTCTGTGGTCCTGTGGAAACATGTTGAACAATGGTTATTTTCCCACATGAACAAAGCAGTTCAGAATTTTTCTTCTTTTATACATATCTCAGCAAATATAATAGTACTTAAGGATGAGTGATTACATTCAATCCTGATGTAGTATGATTGAAATGGTTCGTCAGATGTCCTTCATTTTTACAGCAACAACATAAAGTCAGTCATATGATATTTTTCAGTTATACCAAGATCCTTTCCAACGCCTTTTGCGATTGCAACTTCGCCATCTTAGTGTAGCATAAAGTGTTTCTACATTAAAGAACTTATCCAGATTCAGCTCCTTTAGAATAACTTCAAGCCTTAAGAGGTTGATGGTTATCCTAGACATATGTATAGATAATCTATTTGGTTCTGGACTGAAAATACTGCTGCCTATCACACCTTACTTTTTACTAAGAAGTAAGTTTACCAATGGTTATTTCAATAACATAATCAAAATACCCAGTTCTATGGTCTGCGCCGAAGGCAGCTATCATTCAATCAATGCTTGACTACTCCTAGTATCTGAGCATCTATACAGGAAACCCCTTTTCAAGCAAATTTATGCAAGTTCAATACCAAAGTTAACCGATTTTTAATAATGAATATCACATGATAATAATACAAGATATAAACCCAATAAAATTAAGCAAGAGGGAAAGAGAGAAGCGACCTCAAGAGCACGTTTATGCAACTGAAGCTTCCTCAAACGATTAATGGCATGAAAAATATCACCCCTATGAACAGGAAAACCTTCACCCATCCATTTCTGAAATACAAACCCAATTGATTCTCCTCTTGGAAGCCTCTCTATTCTTAAAGACAACATCTTGGGTGCTTCTTCGCCATTAGAGCTCGAATTCTTCAAACCCAATTCAGATTGCTCACTGATTGTTTGAGTACAGAATGTAAATGGGGCTAATTTGTTGCTCGTTTTCAGAGGCACACCAACTGTTCGATGAAATGCCGCAGTGAGCGAACGCCCTAAAGCAAGGGCGATTACTCTCATATTTGTTAGATGTGAGATCAACCCAGTTCATTGGAGAGGTGTTTCAGGATTTCTACAGAAATTTAACCAGCATTAACGCCTTGTTTAATGTGTTCTCTTTTTTTTTGAGCTTGACTTATGAGACGTAAACGTTAAAAAGAGAAGCTGGTGCTTAAATGAATAAAGTCCTACCAAGATGTGAAGCCAATTCGATTAGTTGGTTAAATCATAGATTCAAAGACGTACTATAGACTATAGTATAACCCAATTTTTGTGACTTTAGCATCATGGGGTGCCCTTTTATGACTTTAAATTTTCTCGTATTTGCTTGCTGCTTATAGTCTTGTGATCACTTGTTTGTAATATAATTTTATTCTCCTTTTGGTTAAAAAAAAAGACGTATTGTAGTATGCTAGGCCTAACTGCGGGCGGGTATAGTAAGTGTTTTATGTTTGAAGCTTAAAAGTTGAATGTAGTAATATAGTCAGTTTTAAATGTTTGAAGTTTAAAAGTCGAGCCTAATTAGGTTACAGGTGAAACAAAACTTTCTACGAAAATATTGTGAAATTTTTTCATTTGTTCCTTTGCAAAAATGATGTAAATTTTTTGCCATATTTTTTCTTCTAGGTAACTTGTAAAGTTAATTTTTAAAATAATTACTGCTTATCGATACGTAACTACCTTGTTTGTCGCTATGTTTTTAACTAAATATGATGAAATTATTGACTTTATGTTTGTATAAGTCTTGGCTTAAACAATTGTATTGACTAAAGCTAAGGGTTGCCTTTAGCCATCTAATTAAGTAAAATTGTAATCAATGATATAATTAAATTACTGTATTATTTCTCTTTATTCAATTGTTTTGATGATTCTGAACATAAAATATGGATATGGCTTCACTGAAATTGTCTCTTGGCCACATAATCACCTGTTGTATACTTATTTAAGTTGGACCAATGTTTAAGCTTCATAAAGACTAGAAGGAAGGAAATAATCACACAAACAATATAAGTTTTATAAATTCATGCCAATAGTTTATGAAACAAAACAGGCAACATACATATTCAAATTAGATCTTTCTTTTAATTCAGCAATCAGTATTACACGCAGTAAGAAATCCATGGACCATGAATCATCAACAGATTTAGTTATACACCAGATCTGATTATGCCATGGCCCATTTATTCAGTTCACAGAACAATCATTTTTGAAAAGTAAGCAAATCACACATATTCATAACACAGGATGGTTGGCAAGTTTAATCGCAGTTGCATGGGTCACAGCTGCAGTCGTCTCCACAGCCACACTCAGTCCTTCCGTACATCCTGCAAAATGAATATAAATCAGCATATTATTCACGCAAGCAAATTTTGTTTCTTAAACATTCAATTTTCTTAGAAGAACATCTTTATCCACAACCTAGTGGCCAATCAAGATACATGGCAAGTATTTCAATGAGCTAGAGCTAATCAGTAATCGCTGGCTAGGAAGCAGCACACACAAACAGTCTGACCAATGGAGTTCAGGCTGGAGATCATAGATCAAACCCAGCCAATTAAACCAGGTCAGACTTTTTACAGCATTCCATCAAGCTTATGAAAATTTGCTCATCCTTTAATGCAAAATCAACATGAGTATTAACTCATGTAAGCCTACAAATCAATTAAGTTATAGGCCTAGGTGTACAATGATACAAGGAGAGAGCAACGAAAAGATAACAATCACGAGTAGTTACTAATACTTGAAAGTTTTTAGTATGAATGTTCAGAGTCTTCAGACCCCAATCATCAAGAAGGGAATATACCTGTTGCAGTTGCAGTCATCACAGCTGCAGTTGTCACCACATCCACAGTTTCGGGCCATTTTCTTTCTTGGAGATTGCTGATTACAATTGGGAAAAGATTTTGCAAAAGATTGATATGAGAGAAATGCAGTTTGTTGGTGATTCAGAATGATGAATATTGAAAACTATATATAGAAAGTAGGAGGCAACATAGGATAGTTTCAATCATACACGTCTAAGAATCTTGGCCTTTCAAAATGTCAACTGACCCCAAGATGTCACACATCAATATCGCACAAGTAATGAAGGGTAAGTCTTAAAATATTTTTCAAATGTAGGGGAAGAAATGGTCGGCAGAGCTAAAAAATTTCTGACAGATTAATCTGTCGTACACATTTTCTACCATATATCTACTTTCTCTCATACAACCTAAGACAGGATCTTTTTGTTGTCTCATTACTAGTTCAAATTACGTTGTCAATGTGACAATTACATACTGATCAGAGGATATATGTAGTAAAGATAGCTTCTTGTTTTACCAACATATAACCCTCAGCTGAAAGGCAGATAAGTCTGAAGTGGTGCAGATCAGTCATTTGCAGCTAAATTTCTAGCTCTCGACCTTCAATCTCATCAAATTCACCAGAATTTCATTTTTCTAATCATAGGTAAATCTATAATATCCAGAAGCTTTTAAGTTTTAACACAGTGGTCCACTGGTCCCATATGTCTTCATTATAATAAAAATTGAATATTTAGATGTTTAAATGACTTGTGAAAAGCAATTAAAAAAAATTAAACTTATAAACTGAAGCAATTGACTCTGGCTACAAGTTTTATATGTTCTTTACAAATTTAGAAACCTCTAGATTTAACTCTAATACAACCAGAATCTTTTGCACCAGTGCTGCACAATTATTATGAATAAAATAAGTTAAGTATCCCACAGAAGCAATATCCAGATTGATAAACTCAATTACAAGAATATAATATCAAGTGATGTTGGTTTTAAAATAATCAAAATCAAAACATTGCATTATTCTAACTCAATCTTCTGATACAACGTAACTGTCATAAAACAGCATGAAGCATGCTTTTTTGCAATTTGAGATTGAAAATTCTGGATACAAGTCCCAAACATAAGAATGTTTTGAAATGCTTTTATCCATTATTAGTAAAATTGTCATAAATAATTGGTTTGATGTGGCCATAAAATGTATAAACTATAAATTAATATTCGATGGTATACTCTCAAATTTAAATTGTGTTTCTATTTATCAAAAATAATGTGATACAAATTCTATCTCAATTTACAATTAACAAATAATCTGATTACATATTTATAATCAGCCTATATCTAAATAACTAATGATGCAAATTATCGTTATATAATTTGCCATTGATTATTTCTTATTTTGCTACTACTCTCCTTTTTCGCTCCTTCTATTCCTCTCATTCTTTTTCTCTTCTTTCTTGTAAATTCTCCTTTATTTATTTTTAGCAAACTCTAATAATAAGGAGGAATATTATCCAACAACAAACAAGGTACGGATCAACTAAACTACTTTGTTTAAGCCGGGCAATTCCTCTATGAGCATGTCTTGGGTGAAACTATTTCACAACATACAATATGTTAGTGTGTGACCATCTCATCCTAGACTTGGCTTTCACCTATTCGTCAAATTGTAGCCCAGGTAGATTCAAATCTTCTCGATTGTGCTCCAACTACAGAAACAAATTTTGAGCTGTGCTCAATGCAGATTATTTTTTGCTGTCTTTAAGAGCAGCAGTTTTGGTCCTTTGCTAGAAATTAAGATCAGACGCTATAGTGCTGCATTTTGTAAGGCTAAGTAGTCCTATACAACAATTACAATTTTATACAAGTATTATGGTAAACACCAGAAACATGACCTGATACAAAATTTTTGGAGTATAACTAGAATGCTTGTTGCAAAGCACAGAATGAGATAATGAGATACAAACCTGAACAAATTGTATAAAATTGTAATTGCTGTATAGAACTACATAATATATGCGTCAATGAAAACTCCCAAAAATTGCATTAGGATCACAACGAAACCTTTGCCCACACCACAAAAGAAAAAACAAATGTGATAAACTATGTATAAGAAACATAAGCAGAATCATTCTAGATCTATCAGGTGCAAAAGTATCATATCCAGACCGAATCCACAAGGTCTGGATGAATACGGCCTAAGAAAGGTATTTACAGACGATTGCATCAGGTTGTGTCCTATCATTACTTTCTCTTCATAAGGAACCAAAACCAATTAATAAAAAAAAACACAAACAAATGAACAATGACTATACTGCTCTGTTGATTTGTATACATAAATTCTATTGTAGCACCCACCTTTAAGAACCATTTGGCCGTGTTTGAAAGAAAACACAGCTTTATGCTAAAAAATGATGTTGTCCGGAATGAGATGATTTGCATTTCACAATATATAGACAATGCATACTAAAATCTTAAGTTTACACAACTAAGGAAACATAAATAAAATTTACAATCTTAAATTTGCTATTATTACCCAAACAAAGAAGCTAAATCAGTAAATCACATTTGCAATGGAGAGTAAAACTTCAGCTGCTGTCTGCTGAGGGTCAGTTCAAATACCTTAGCCTTCAACATCCAAGAGACTCCCTACAACTGCAAATAAACAAGAAGTGTGTTCAGCTAAATGAATCATATAAGATAGGTAGTAGACGGTTATAGGAGAGAGCGAGAGCTATGGTTAAGGATACATACCTAAGACATTAGAGTGATTAGACAAACTTATAAGCACGCTTAGCAGAATCAAGGGTATTGGAGAGCAACGTGGAGATTGTTACAGGCCCCAGCCCACCCGGAACAGGGGTGATTATAGATGCCACCTTTACAGCTTCTTCAAAACATACATCACCCGTTAAGTGGAATCCGTGTTCCCTGTTTGGATCCTACAATCAAAGAATTTTTCAGTGCATCTTGTAAACAAATATGAGCTGCTTCTTTTGGAACAACGTGCCCTCGAACTAATAACGATTGCCATAATTGATAAACAGGCCCTTCATATCAGTTTTAAAGCTGATAATTACAAGACCACACTTTGTTTTAATGGAAACAAAATAATGCATTTATTTAAGTTTCCTGTAGGATGTAGCAAGTTTTTACCTTAACTGCATTGGTTCCTGTATCTATAACAACAGCGCCTGGTTTTAACCAATTGCCTCGGACCATGTTTGGCACACCTACGTCTGTAATGACTATATCTGCCTCAAGGGTTATTTCTTGTGGATTTTGGTGAATGAATGCACAAAACTCACAGTGGCTTGATGCCTCTTCAAGACATACCGAAAATAACATAGCTCAATTAAATAATGCTCTTAAACCAAACATAAAATAGACTAGTCATATGTGTTAAGTACCTGCAGCAACAGTGAAACAGGCAATCCAACAATTTTGCTTCGCCCTATCACAACCACATTCTTTCCAGAGACTTCAATACCAGACCTCAACAGCACATCAATACAGCTTTTGGCAGCACATGGAACAAATAAGGGCTCCCTCCCCTTTATGGCAAGACATCCCATATTCGAGGGATGGAAACCATCAACGTCCTTTTCAGGATTACTAACATCCATAATCTTCTCCTTATCCAAATGCTAAGCGAAAAATGTCAACTAGTTACAAACATAGAAACCAGGAAATGATAAATGCCACAGCAAACACTAGTGGCACCAAGGATTAAAATATTTACTTCTGGAAGAGGAAGTTGCACAATGACACCATGAACTGATGGATCTTTATTTAGATTTGAAACAACATGAAGGACTTCAACCTCTGTACAGTCAGCATGCAACTCAACAATGGACGAAGAGATTCCAACTTCATCACAAGCTTTTATCTTGGTGTGGACAAAAGAATGAGAATCATCTCTTTCACCCACCAAAACAATAACCAAACAAGGTTGTTTCCCAACGGCATCTTTCATCCTCATAATTTCAATAGCTACTTGTGACTTAATTATTGCGGCAATAGACTTCCCATCAATGATTTCAGCACTCGGTCCATCAACTGCATCAAAATGCATAAATGGCACAACTCATACTTATTGAAGAACAAGCAATATAATAGCAACTGACTGTTCAAAGGCCTAAATAAACTAGTTAATAATAAAATAACGTGTGTCAGTTTTTTTGGATAAACTGGATTAATTGGGATATAACGTGTTGGTTAACATGTTCAATGATATTATTTAGAAGTTTACAGATGAGTTACACAGCATATACTAAACACCAGACATCTGCATACAAAAAAAGAGAAGGGCCATGCATCTGAAACTACAACTGGGCACTGTAAAAAACTTCTATTTCGTAATCAACACAGCAGCGCTGATAAAAGAAAACAGAACAGAAACAGTAGGCAGCTTAAGTATCGATCCAGGACAACATTGATAAAAGAAAACAGAACAGAAACAGTAGGTACCTAAAGCATCGATCCAGAACAACGTTGATAAAAGAAAACAGAACAGGAACAATAGGCCATGTAGTCTCCTTTACATCGATCCAGTCCCAGAAGGCACACTCACAGCCATGGCCTTAAACCTCGGCCTCATAACTCATCATAGTTACATTTAGCCTTCAGGATGTATAGGCATAAAGACCATAGTGACCAATTTAAGGTTGCCTCTGGATATAGCACCCAAAATAGTGCTTTTGCTAGTTCTGGCATTCCCACAAAGCCCACATTGAATCCTTTCAACCACACCCATGAAGCTGGCCTCCGGCTCAGACAAACCAACTCATAGGTACCTTTAAACTTTCAAAATAATCATTCCAATCAAAACCACAATTCATATCAGGTGTCTCCTAACCGACACACTACCTAAAGCATCTACAATTACATCATCAGTCAGCAGCAATTACTTGCTGCTCTTCATCAAAATGTTCAACATTATCCAGTAATTTTTTCCCAGTCTTCTGCAACTCTTATCAACCTCCACATCACTATCACCTATCATGCTTTCATAATGTTATTTTTAGTCGAAGTGCAAAACTGAAAGCGAAAGTGATAAATTATACATGTGCTTTGTATTAAATGGAAGGAGTATTGTATTAATTTACATCATCATTTTGAAAATACATAGGACCTTTCTACTACAAGGTAGCTGCAAGCCTGCAACAGAGTTTAGGAACAACCATTATCACTAGAGCCAAAGAGACTTTTGACATACTGCCTTTTCAAATAGGTGGGACAATTGAAAAAAATAATGAGCTTATTTGGTTGAGCGGTTAAAATATTTGCTGCCTCCAAAGCCTCAGCTGGGGTTAAGCCATCTAGTTGTAATAGTTCACCCAAGACTTTGTTACACTTATCCGCTATATCTTGCTCACGGTCATCAGCACGAGACCAAACATTAGCCATGGTAGAAAGATGGGCATTCATGTCTTTCATGAAATTCTGCAAGCATGCTAACTCTAAATCACTGGAGCTCTGAGCCGCCTTATCACTTCCTTTTTTCTTAGAAGTCTCGTCTCTTTTCACCTTCTTCAATGGAGGGGCAGATTCTGTAGTAAGGATTCCACTACCACCCACATCATCATCACTTGATTCAATGTTAACTTGCGCAACCTCCTCTTTATCCATGTTGTCCACAGCATCTAGAAAACCCTCGGCAGGCTTTCCAGTAGCAAAATCCTTACCATAGATCTCCATCATAACATGCAAGTGAGGGAAAGACACTCCATACAAATTTTTGCAAGTAGGATGCGCCTAGGGGAGAGAAAGTCAGCATATGTATTAGAAGAAAAGTTGAAATAAGATTCATGCCTAAATAAAAATTAAAAAGTTTACCTTGCAATATTCTTCATACACTGATCTCTCCACACATATCATGTGCTTCTTCTCATCCCATTTGAATCCCTTTGTTGCCAACATTTGAAGGATAGCTCTAAATTTGCCAACAAGAGTTTTTAATCTAGAATCAATGTGAGGCGAAGCTTTAAGCCCACAACCTGGAACTGACTTTCCAATCATCTCCTCCAAGCGAATCATATAGCCATTTCTAAATCCATAATCACATTTCCAACGTGGATCGGTAGATAATTCATGCAATGCATCAATGAGAGCCTTGTCTTCTTCACTATTCCAAAATCGCTTGTTTCTACCCCTTCGACTACCAATTGCACTACTACTTTCATCCATCCTATTATAACAATCAAAGGTAATGAAATGAGCAAAATCCAACATAATCAAACAGAAAAAAGCCAAAGGTCATAGTTCAAACAGCACAATATAACATCTAATAAAACATGATAATCAAAATAAGGTATCAATAAATCAACTGTTGAACATAGTCACTCTCCAAGTTTAAACATAGTGACTACTACAAGTTTAAACCAAGAGCATCCAATACAAAATAGCATAGTCACTCTCCATGGCCTCCAGCTAGACAACTGTTGAACATAGTTTGAGCTAATGAATTTCTAAAATTGGTCCAAGGAACTAATGTATCAATAGAACTTATATATTCAACCTCACTGTCTTCATCATCATCGCCACCACCATCACCATCATCATTCTCATCATCCGATATGTCTTCATAGATAGAACCAGGAGGCATGTATCTCTTTATTAAGTTATGCAATAAACAACATGCCAAAACAATACGACCATGAGTTTTTAAACTAAACCAAGAAGGGCTTCTAAGAATCTTCCATCTTCCCTTAAGTAACCCAAAGCATTGTTTCATCACGTTTCTAGCCATTGCATGTCTTAAGTTAAAATTCTCTTCCGCGCTTTGTGGTTGGCGAGATCCATTGTTCCACTCACTAAGATTATAAGGATGTCCTCTAAACGGTGCAAGGAATCCCTCTCCGCCATATCCAGCGTTACACAAATAGTAGCAACCTTTGCACATAAAAATGAATAAAAAAAAACCATTTATTACGTACTCATTTTAATCGTATTTGACTTGAAAAAAATACTACTTTTAACTACTTTACCTTGCGGAACAACTAATCCATTAGGCCTAGAAATAGCATCACATAATACTAAGCCATCATCTACTGAACCCTCCCATCCGGGTAACACGTAAACAAATTCCATATCAGGTGAGCATGCTCCTAAAACGTTCATTGCAATGCTACCTTTTCGTGTTTGATATTTAGATCGATCCTCAGGAGGCACACTCACACTAACCAATGTGCAATCAACTGCACCTACACAATTCTACAAAACAAATAAAACTTTTTAGATGGTGTGATGGCAGTATCGTTGTTTTCTAAAAATGAGATTGCATTAGTAGTACCTTGAAAAACTTCCACTTATCATCACTGCAAATCTACTGTTATAGGTGAAGGTTTCTTAAGCAACTCAGTGTGCAACTTTAACACAGCCTTTAAGCACAAATGAAACTGCCTACTCACAGTTTCACCACTTCTGTAAAAATAAGCGCCAACATATCTATTCGTCTTGTGGTGAGCTAATATATACAAGAAAGTCGCAACAATCTCTTCCACACTCATGTGCCTTGTCCGACTCAAACCACCAATCCCCTTAACCATCTCACAAAGTTTGTTAAAAGTAAAGCGATCCATACGAAGATGCTTCCTACACAAATCATCACTCTCTCCTATAAACCTATTTAAATTACTCAATCTCAATCTCCTTCTCATCCTCTTCTTTCCTTCCAATCGTTGTGAATTATTCGATGCCTCTTTCATCGAGTACCACATCATATAAACCAAAACCACAACATTTATCATGAGTATAACATATTGAAGGAACTCCAATTCTCTTCTTCTTTTCAAAGAAAGACCACGTCGAGCCATTTCTGTACATATATTATAAATTAAATCATGCAAAAACCACATAATGAGATACTTATAGGGTCCTAAATCCTAACCATGTGCAACACACCACAACAAGAATATCTTTCTTTGAATACACTCATCAATCTACCATTAAATAAAACAAGGAGTCCATAATCATTGACCATATCATATCATACAAATTATATCAAGCAAATACCTTAAAATCTTGCAGCTAACAAATCTTGCAAATTTAATATTATACTAAAAAAAAAACCCCAAGAGATAAGACATTTTTCAGAAGCATTACTTAAACCAAATAAAAACAGAAATTAAAAAAAGGGCTAAAGATTTAAACTTTATCACAATAATTGTCAAAATAATAACACAAAAAATAGAAATCAAAGAATATAGCATGACTAGATAAGCGTCAAGATTAACCAACAAAAAAAGGGAGAAGATTTTATACCTTGAACAATTTGCAGATGATAGTAAAAGTTCGCCGGAATTTTGCCGGAAACCACCAAGTTTTACCTGAAGATACGAGGAGAGAGAGAGAAAAAAGTTAGAGGGAGAAACGCCGTATCAGAAAATATGGGGTAAATTAGGTGAGACTTACAAACCGCCGTGAAATTCGCCGGAGATCTGCCGGAGGTGAGGACGACGGCTAGGGTTTGATTGAGAGTATGAGGTTGTAGAATTGAGGCGAATGAGGGAATTCAAGTCTGGGGGTGTTGGAATTACGCCGTACGATACAGGTGTTTGGGGGAACTCAAAAAATGAATTGGGGAAATGGAATTAACAACACTAGTCAACCAAACGGCTCCAGGGCTACACACTTGTATTTTTGGGTCGAGCTATTTCAAATCGCGTTATATGTGGGTGATGAATCGTTTGTTACGTTTGGTTTTGGTCAGTCCTGAACGATGAAATATCATTCATACAAGTATTATAGAGTAGTGTAACGGTGAAATCAGTAGCGTATGTAAAAAATACTTCTATTAAGTAAAATTGTGTAAAATTACACAATTGTAATTTATACTATGTATAAAGTAGTACAATGAACAATAACTTGTGTTTTAGGTCACCGAATATTGTTATTTCAAATAGAGTTTGCATTAGTTTTGTCAATTAATCACAAACGATCCAATTCTATCAAGTCCAATTTCAATAACTTCATTTACAAAGTGATAGTGTCATAAAGGTGGAGTATAAAGCAATACTCCTTTGTAATAAACTTCAATTGTTGTATGCAAACTATCTCTACGTTGGCAATGATTTAATTTAATTATTGACTAAAACTGAATACGAGTAATTAATATGGTGATTGTTTCCTAATAGTGGTAAGTTGTACGAGTATTATGCATCCAAACGTTGTCGCCACTTTTATGTTCATTAATTAATGAGCCTCTACTAATCAAGAATTATCAACATGAATTTCAAAATTGAATTTGAATGGTATAACTATATATTGATATGTATACTAGATGCACCATAGTCATATACAAGTATGAATTACAAGTAGAGCTGTGAGTTTCTGTCCCGCACCGTTAAACCTGATTGTTTCGAATCGATCCGAAAAGGAGCTAAACCGTTAAAAACACATTTTTTTAAAATCGAAAACTGACCTGATCCAATTTTTTCTAACCCGAAATTGAACCAAACTGAATTTGTGCGAACCGATACCAACTTGACCCGTTATCAAGTTAAACCATTACAACCCGAACTGATTACGTTTGAACCCAATAGTAACCCAACCTATTTTAAACCGAAAATCGTTCAAACCCGGCAAAAATTCGGTAAGACCCGTTGTGACCGAACCATTTATAACCCGTAACCCGTTGGACCGAACCGTTTCCAACCTGTAATCCGTTGAGGCCGAACTGTTTACAACTCGTAACCTAGACCTAGCAATCGTGTCGTGTTCGTTTTCGTGTCGAAAATTAAACGGGTTAGAGAAGGTCAACACTAACCCGACCCATTTAATAAACGTGTCGTGTAGTGTTGACCCAATTAATTAATCGTGTCGAAAATCCTTAACACTAACCGGCTTTTTTCGTGTTCGGTTCGTGTCTGTTGTCGTGCTGAATTGGAAAATATTGGTCTTGTTCAATAGATTTATCAATAATTCCATAAATTATTGGATTTTTATATTAGGCGGGTTGAGTCATGTTAATTTCGTGTTGAGAATCTCAACACTAACCCAACCTGTTTAATTAAACGTGTTAAAACCCTTGACTCTAACGCGTTTTTTTTTCGTGTTCGATTCATGTCGTGTTATCGTGTCATGTCAGTTTTTGCCATCTCTACCATAACCCATTGAGACCAAACTGTTTAGGACCGGTAACCCGTTATGACTGAGTCGTTTACAACTCGTAACCCAATATGTTTATGATCTGATTTGTTTCAACCCACTACTCGATAAACCTAACTTATTTATGACTTAACTTGATTATAACATGACCCGTTCCTACACAATATCTGACTAACTTGACTCGATAATGATCCAACTTGATTTTAACTCGATAAGATTTGGACTGAAACCCGCTTTAAAAAGGGTAAACCCGTTTCCAAACCGATCAAGTTCAATCCAAACCGATTTTGACCTGAATTGATAATGATCGGACCCGATTTCACCCAATCTGTTTTGAACCGAAACCCATTTTCAAACCGACCCAATCTAACCCAAATTGATTATGACCTGAACCGATTACAACCCAACCCATTAGGACCCGAGCTGTTTTGCACCGAAACCCACTTTAAACTGGCTAAACCCATTTCAAACCGACCTGGTTCAACCCAAACTGATTATGACCCGAACCAACTACAACCCGACCCGAATAGAAACCGCAATAAATAAAACCAAACCAAACTGACCCAATGATTTTCAAAACCGACCCAAACCGACCAGCTAACCATTTCAACCCGTTATAAACCGACTCGTTATAACCCAAAACTGATAAACCCAACCCAAGCCCGAACTGTTTACCTGAATTGGCACCCCTAATTACAAGCATTGTTTGTCTTAAACAAAGTATATGTGTCTTGTGGCATTTAGGCAGCTTGAATTTATACATTTTTTTTTATCGTGTTGGGGTTTCCTTTTATACAAGGTAGAATTTGTATTGACATTAAGCCACATAATTATGTAGTACAAGTTAAATTTAGAAATTATATCGACACCAAGCCACATAATTCTATGGATTTTGGGTATAGATGGCAAAATGCTAACCAATTTCCAATTCCTGTTGTCAACAAGGATCGATCCCCAACTCTGCAACCGAGCACTTGGGAAGATGGGCGCACCACTTAAACCTAAGACACGGATAGACACAAAATTCTAATCATTGAGGTACCAAACGGAAAAAACCAGTTCTTTTCTTCCACTTCATTCAAAGGTCATCCAAATTGGAAAAGTTTCACAAAAACCACAATATCAATCAACAATTGAAAGACCAGAGCAGACAAGAATATACTTGTATATACTAAACTGTAGTACTTTTTTTTTTTTTTTTTTTTTTTTTTTTTTTTTTTTTTTTTACTTTTTCAAATCACAAATAAAAGGAAGTATTACATAGACAAGTCACACAAGCCATAAACATCTACAAATATAGATATACACCAGACCAGAAGAAGCCATGGCCTATTCATTCAACTCACAAGACACTCAATTTTTTTCTTTTCTTGTAATTCTGACAGCTTAGCAACCACACACAATCAGTTCATAATACAGATGGGACAATTCCTCGTCTTTAATCACAAGTGCAAGGGTCGCAGCTGCAGTCATCTCCACAACCGCACTCAGTCCTTGAATACATCCTGAAAAAAAAAAAAAAGGAAAAAAAAATTGAAGCATGTTCTGATGTACTCTTGCAAGTTGCAACCAATTTCCCCTAATAACGGACATAGAGAAGAACGATTGATGTTCAAAAAATATAAAAGAGAACCAGTTTAAGTCAAATCTATAAACTGAAGAAGTCTAAGGGCATGAAGGATATTAACAGATAGGGGAAAGCGGTAAGACAAATATCGTAGTTTACTCCATATTACAAAGGAATATTGAACTTAGAAAGAAGTAAATATACCTGTTGCAGTTGCAGTCATCACCACAGCTGCAGTTGTCGCCACAGCCACAGGTTCTTCGGGCCATCTTCTTTCTCAATGAATAAAAATAGCGTTTCAAAGATTGATTGTAAGAATACGTTTTAAAGAGAAATGAATTTGTGGATGTTTCAGAATTGATGAGCAACAACACCTTTATAAAGAACCTTGAAGGGATTTGGCAAAAATCCCAATCATACACGTCTGATATCTAATATCTTGGCCCTTCACCATGTCAACTCTACCCCACATACATCTCAGCTCTAAGAAATGAAAGCAAAGATCTTGATAATATTAATGAAAAAAAAAAAAAAAAATTAAAATTGGTGGATGACAAGGTCATGGCGGCTAAAAATTACATACAAGACTTTAACTTGTCATATAATACATGTTTTGTCTTGTATAATAAATCAATGACAACCACTCGTTGCATGAAGTCTTCCACTCTTTATTAAACACTCTGTACACACATGCAACCTCAAATGAAAGATGAATACGTCTCAAGTGCAGCAACTTACAAGTCAATGAATTTTAGCCACATTTCTAATTTTGATTCCTTAAATTAAATGAGGGAGGTGGGAAAATGGAGTGCCCAATGAGCATGAATTACAGATAACCCAAAAATGAAGTCGAGCTCAGAGATATAAACACACGCAAAAAAAATAAAAAATAATAATAATAAAAAATAAAAAAATCTGAAATGAACAAAATCGATATCAATGATTAACATACAGAATGTATATTACAAACACAGAGTATATAGCATACTCATTTTGAGTCCAATACCTATCATATTCATTTTTAAAAAGATATCATATTCATCTTGAAAACATAGACTAGTTATTTGGAGCAAAATCTGGGGGTGTAGCTCCAAAGATCATATTCACCAGCGTATTATCATTACGCATCACATAAATTCATAAGTTTAAAGCTTTGTCAAAGCAGCCAAAATTACCCTCCTTTTTCTTTCCATTTTTACAAAGTCAGGATATTAGATGCCTTCTGACATGAATCAATTAAGAGATAAACTGAAGCAATTGACTATGTCTGACAGAGCGAGCCTTTCAGACACCTAACATTTCAGGTGCAGAAACATCCTATGTCATGATACAGTTTTAGATTGAAAAAACTATAAGAAAGAATAGCTAATAATGATTTTTTCAAAGCTAATCATAGTCCAGATTGACCTATCCCAACAAGATCTTATGCTGTAATTTCAACATATTAAAACACCATGAAGCTTGCTTCTTTAAAAGTTGACATTGAAAATTTAGTAGATTAAAGCATCATAGCTAAGAAGAAAGACTTCTTGTAAACATGTCTTATTAGTTGAATCATATGACAATTGACTTCAAGATGCAGGGAAATCCATATCTCTAGCCATACCAACAGAATGGCACTATATAAGAAATCTAAGCACTGCCTACCAGAAATAACCACCATCAGACATTTGAAAAGAAAGAACCCCTGCCCCCCGGGCTCCTCACCCCGGAGAAAGGGATAAACTTGGTGTGTTGACATGAATTTTCAAAGAGAGCTAGCCAATATATTCAACTTGATCCCAAGAATAATAGTAAAAGATATGAAGGCTATGTTCTAAAGTTCTAAACAACAGAAATAAGGAATAATATCAACTAAGATATTCTTTTCTTCCTCTTCCTTATATCCCAACCCAACTCCCAACTCCCAACTCTCCCCTTGGTGACTTAATTATAAAATAGTTAATCAACTAATATATTATCTAGTCTCAGACTGGCAGGTTCCCCACCATTAACAAGCACTCTTAACCCAGCTTTCAGATCCGGTATCCCTTCCTCCAAAACCGCACAAACTGGGTAGATAGGAATTCCGCGCACCCTTCTCTGTAGCTCCTCCAAAACACATTCAGCCCCTGCCTCATCAGTTTTATTTGCCACCACTATAGATGGACGGTCAGATAAGCCTTCTTGATAATGCTCCAACTCTAAGACCAAATCTCTGAGCTGCTCCCAAGGTGGAATTCCTTTGCGGCCATCAAGTGCAGCAGCCAGGTCAACCACATATGCCAGGATTTTTGTCCTTTCTATGTGTCGCAAGAAAGCATGTCCTAGACCACGATTCTCATGAGCACCCTTAATGAGTCCTGGGATGTCAGCCACTGATATTGAGAGTTCATCATAGTTTAACTTCCCTATATTAGGTCTCAATGTTGTAAAAGCATAATGTCCTACAGCAGGTTTGGCCCTAGAAATAGCACCCAAAATAGTGGATTTTCCTGCATTAGGCATTCCCACAAGCCCCACATCAGCAATACTCTTTAGCTCCAGTATTATAGTAGCCTGTGACCCAGGCAAACCAATTCTTATGTTAGGTTGATTGTCATCATCAGAACTTTCCACGTCATCATTCTTATCAATAACTAAATTCTTATTTTTTAAGTTCTTTAGATGACGCTTCCCAGCTGATACACTGCCTAAACCCCCTTCTCCCCCATGAGCAACAATTAATTGCTGACCCTCTTCAGTCAATTCAGCAACATTACATTGTATTTCTTCCACATCTTCTTGAAACTCCTCTTCAAGCATACCACTATCAATTTCTAGATCACTGTCGTCAGCCAATGTACTTTCACAATCACTTGTATTATCATAGTGAGAAATTCGAACATTCTCACTATATGTTGATTTACCACGACTATGAGAAGGTGGAGAACAAGTAGGAAGAGGTGATACAAGAGAGGGTGACTTGATATAAGCTGAACTCTTAGCAGTATCATTAGTACAAGAAGATGAGACTTGAGCACCACTCTCCACCAGATCCATATCCGGACCCCGCAAACTAGAAGTGGATAACTGATCAGATTCAAGGAAATCAGAAGTAACAGTACCTGGAAGATCCCAAGGATGAGTCACAGAAGACGGTTTCTCCACAGCTGAAGGGATTTCACCCTCCACCAGATGGATAACAGTACCAACAGGTACTTGCACAACCTGTGGAACAAGATTTGAGCAATCAATTAACCACAACACAGACACTAATAAACAGATATGACCAATAAGAAATTAAAAAGTCCATAGATCATAACCTTGTCTTCTCCACGGCTGCCAATCTTATTCTTTGAGGCTCCATGCCCACCATATCCTCCAGTCTGCCATCCACCACGATGATATCATCAAAAGTGAATCAATTAGACTAAACTAATTTTCTCAGCATTTAACTGTTCAATGACCTAATATATAGCAAATAGCAGATACATACAATGTGATGCTGCAGACCACGGAAGTCCCAAACTGCAGAGGTGCACCGTAAAATCACATCACCGCCTCTTCCACCATTTCCGCCTGTAAAATATAGGAGTATATAGACTGTAATTAGTCAAACTATGCTTCTAATTAGAAGATGTTCAACTAAAATTGCTATCACCAAGGGTTCAGAACTCATGCTAGAGTCAAACCCACCATCAGGCCTGCCATAGCGATCAGTTCGACTACGACGCAAGCTGCCATTTCCACTTCCACCATCACCTCCTTTAACATGCAATCTAAATCGGTCAATCATTCTCCTCTCCTGAAATAAATTAGCAACCTCAATTCGACTCTATGCCTAATAGAACAATAAGATGAGCAAGAGCAACCACTCTTTTCTTTGAACTTCAGCATACAATGAAATACCTATGAATATAAGTTACAAACCTGCAAAGGAGTAGCTTTAAAATTCTTTCCAGAAGCATTAGAATATGAAGCAAATGACCAAAGAAGCCTTGGTGATGTAAAAAGTTTTCTCAAAGATTCTTCCTTATGAAGGCACCTTGTTTTGCATAACAATGTCCTCAAAGCTAACATATTGGTCTTCACCCTCCCTGCATTAACAATACCACATGAACAATGCCACATGAATCTTTCTATACCGAAATTTTGGTAGTTTGCTTCAAACTAGACATAGAAAACATATAAGAGCAAGAAAAACAAAATTTGACATAAAGATTTATCCTTTCTTCACCACATAAAGAAGGATTCTAAAACCTCAAAGAAGAATAAATTACCTAAACTAATGTTATACACTAAGAAAAGCATTGCACTTTTCCATTAGTGTCAAGATTATCTTTCATCACTTTTTCTTTACTCTATTCCAACATCCAAATCCCACATATGTACAAAGAAATTAAGGTGATTCAACGACTACTAAAATCAATTCTCGCCTTGGAATGTTTGTCATTGCCTCTATTAGCAAATAATTGATTGAAGACATTCAATAGTATGTTCTCCCTCTAAGAGATTTAAACTCACAAATTATATATTCGTTTCAATCAACCAATCTCTATTGTAAATAAGATAAGCTGAGCAAATTTTAACAAGATTAAATAAAACCCTTAAGCTAGCTTACACCTACAAATGTCATCTCAATAAGGGTGCACAACAAAAGTAAAAAATTACACTTATCACCTAATTCAATTGCATTACATTTCAATTTGTGCCTCCAACACAAATATAAGATTCGGTTAATGCAAATTCAAAGCTAATGTCATTCAGTAATAAAGCTACTAGTAGAATCAAATCTTGCAAACATAGACATTTCATCAAACAGGTGGTATGCATAACTAATATGACATTAGGGTACACCCTAAGAAAAGTTAAATGAAATTCAAATTATACATCATCAAAATATCATAAACAAACAAAAATTGAACTTTTAAAAGAACTAAGTATTGTTGAAAAGCACACTAAAATATTGAAAAGAGGGAAAAAGGGAAATTATCATAGAACTTTGTTACTGAAATTATAATGTAAAAATTCAAGAATCATACTTTTCTGGACGACTTGTGATTAGTGACTGACTGACTGGGAACTCCGGCTCGGCTTCGGCAGCTGAAATGGTGTAAGACTGTAAGTGCAGCTTTGCTTTGCTCTGCTCCACGGTTTTGTTTTTTTTTTTTGTTTTTTTTTTTTTTTTTGAAGAGGCTTGTATTCTCTGATTTCCTTTACTCCGTGCTTCGTTGTTTTTTTGTTTTTCTTCAGTTGTACATAATTTCTAAAATATTTTATACACATCTGAGTGTACCGACTATTTGTATTTTATTTCTTTGTGACTTTGTTGGATAATTTGCGTATTTTTGAGATTTTATTGTTGTCATAAATCACTTAGAAAAGCTTAAATTTCAAACTTTGTCAAAAAAAAATATATAAAAATAAAATGTAACATTCAGAGATGTGTAAATCATCCATTTTTAAACCAAAAAATTTCCTATTTCTAATCTCGAGTAAGTCATTGGATATGTGATTTATGTCTAATTTAAAACAATCTAACTAATTGTTGTGAATGAAGCACGATTGCAAGGAAGTAACCCTAACCTAACCTTGTTAAGCCCTTAATTGAAAACATTGAAAGGCTCTTGGTGCGATGGTTGATTGGTGGTGCCTGCCATTCGGGAGTGTTACAACTTGGGCTTTAGATCTTTGAAAAATGGGCGAGAAAGATAAAGTGATTGATAGCACGCATGTGCTAAGTTTTGCCTTATCTATATTTTGTTTTTACAATTTCATAATTTTTAAAGAAACGACACGTGCTCTACCAGACATTTCAAAAAATTTGCAATTACGTAGTAAGTTAGAAGATAATACAAGTAATACTATTATATAAATTATGATATTTCATCATCTAATAACAACTTACACTCTTCCTATACCTTAAGTATATACGGAGTAACTAATTAATGATAAACAAACGAATAAGGCACATTACTTTATACAATATACATCATCCTGCATGAAGTATTATTGCAGGTGAGTGGTGAGCCAACCAAGAGGCATAACAATCAATAACTAACAATTTCATCCAACAACTCATTGAAAACCAAGTCCTCCAATTCAAGAGCAAGACCTTCAGTATATGTTTGAAGATTGACCCAACCATTTTTGTCCTTTGATAAGTCATGAGCCACTGCAATATCAAGTGAAGGATCTAACTCTGGCATCCAACTTAAGTACTCCCTAACAAATTTCCAAACTTCCCCAACACCGCTCCTTTTAACTGTTGTTGTAGGACTAACATGGCACCAGAATGATAAGGATTTGGGGTAACATACATAGGACCGTTCACGAATATCAATCAAAGCCTCATTGATTAAATCAAACACGAGCTTTTGGTGAGAGCTTGACATGAAAATTTCATCTTTGTCCAATGATTTGAGCTCAAAAGGACAGCAAACCTCAATTCCATCAAATAGTGCAGGATCAAGTGGCTGAGTTTGCGAGTGCCATTCTTCGCGTTGGTTTTCTGATGTAGCTAGGCCTGCTATATCAAGTACATATTTCACATACTGCAAGTCATCGTTGAAGTTTGAGTCTTGAGTGTCATCCTCCGTTTTTCTAGAGAATGTAGACAGGCGGTTTAACTCTAATGGTGATCCTGAAAAAGAAAAGTGACTGATGTTATAACCTTGTAACTTATTAAATTCAGTAAGTTTAACAAATGCTTCTAACAGAAATTTTAGTACTTGAATCTTTTGACAAATTACCTTCTGATGACATAGGCCAATCCACATGTTCAATCTCGTCATTCTGAGTACAAATTTCTAGATTAATTTCGCGACTGCTAGCTATTGCCATGGCATCAAACTGTTCCTCAACGAGCCTATTTTCCTTTCCTTTTGATAGTGATTTGGCTAAACTCACATTTTCTCTAGGGGAATCAAGCCTTACTCCTCTAGCTTCTCCATAATTCATGGTGTTCCATCTTTCAAGACTACCTCGAGATGGCTCATTCGTAGTGGGTAAAGGAGACTCAATCTCAGACAAATAAAGTCCCTCTCTAAAAGATCTCTGCCCTTGAAGATCATTCAATGTTCCGAATTCCTTCTCATTCCTTAACCTTAAGCTCTTAGATAGATGACTCTTAATTGCTTTATTACTACTACTATCAAACAAATAAGCATATTTATCCAAGGAGTGCTCCGTAACAGATAATGATCTTCCAACGTTCTGTGACTTCGCCTTCTTCAGCTGACGCGCAGTGCCAGACACAGGCCAAACTTCATTGTACTTGTGTTCAACTTTGGCAGGTCTTCTTTCTCTTTCAGAATTCGAAGAATTTAAGGAAGGAAATGTCCCACACTTAACCAACTTCGTATTTTTTGGAGGACTATTTTGCATAATTCTTAAAAACAAGTCATGATCAACTTTATACAACTCCAATACACCCACATAATCATTTTCCATCTTCGTATCCTTGTGCTTAACCTTTGTTTCCGGTTTCATATTACTCGATTCATCAACGCGATTAATGCTTTTGATCAGTTTCGGATTTGCCTTAAGAAGAGACATTAAAGTTGGAGCATAATCATCGTCATCACATGACTTATCCTTGAGGCCTTGGGATAATTCAGTCTCTTGATCAGGCAAATCTAATTCTCTTGAGTTTTTTTTTTCTTTCATTAATCCTCTAATTCTGGATTTAATAGACCTCTTACTAGCCAAACCATTTCTTGAAGAGCCCGAATTAACCTGCTCATAATTTAGTTTACAAGTTATATACTCTTGTGAAAAGTGTAACAACAAACCAAACCATTATATCCGTAATCTAATGGTAAGCTCATGTCTAAAATCAAAAATCATAGAATTAATAAAAACACAAATGTTAATCTAGTACTTCAATACGCTAATCAAGTTAAATTAAAGAAGATGTTCGAATTGAAATTGTCCGGCAATTATTCTTTCTGCAAAAATCATGTCATATAAGTATAATAATAAATAAGGGTTGAGACAATGTGATAATTCACGAGTACAGGAAATTCTAACGAGTGCTCGTGGGGATACGACTAATTTATGAAGCTACATAATGTCAAAATGACAATTTTCTTTTGTAATCAAAACATAATCATTTAAATAAGAAAAACTTACAGCAGAGTACTTTAACATCATATCCTCCTCCAATTCTTGTGATAGGTTAATTTCATGCTCAACATCTGACTTTATTCCTTTACCTACATAAAATAAATACCACATATGAATTGCTTATTCAATATTCAGCAAAAATACATAATTACATATTTGAATAAATAATAATAAAAAAGGGCTTACTTTTGGTTGATTTATTATCATGGGATTTATGCTTGTTGTAAGGAAGCATTTTTTTGACGTTATGCCAAGGAGGATAATTAAACATTTGGAATACGGTCCAAATACATCCTGGGTGATCTTCCTCCACTTTTACATACGAATGTTTTCGCCATATATATTTTCTCATCTTCAGTCAACCCTGAAATAAATCATTAATTTCTATGAAATTTGGGCAGAATAACAGAGGAAACTAATAACAAAAATAATCTGAAAATGAGAATAAATAAGTAACTTGATGGAAATAATCTGGTGAAGAAGTTGTGAGGGGGTTTAAGAGGAGAGAGAAAAAGGGGATTAATGTTATAATTAAATGAAGAAATTAAAGAAATTGAGTTGGTAACATAATAAAAATAATTAATAAAATACGTAGCTTTAATGTAAATATAATAGGGTTGACCTGAGAAAAAGTTAAATCTTCAACAATTCTTCATCTTTGAAAGAGAAGAAGGATTTGTTGAAGATTGAAGACAAGACTCCAGGTCTTCTTTGTCTGCTCTTTCTTTTTTGTTTTTTGTTTTATTGTTTGTAAGCTACTACTAAGATTAACCAGCGAAGACCCGCCAGAAAAGTTAGTTGGGGTTGGGGGGGCTTTCCCTTTTTACGCGCCATTGCCAAGTCAGTCTTTCTTTCCCTTTTTTGCTTCCAACTTCCTTTTTTTTCTTGCTTAATAGAAAAATAAATTTGATTTTTTTTTTTCGTGATGGTTGATTTTCAAATTAAAAATCACTCTAAATATATACTTCATACTTCGTATTAATAGTGTCAAAAAACTTAAGCAGCTTATCTTACAATTCACGGGGTTATCAATTAAGTCTAGATTCTTGTCTCTTGAGAATCCAACTAATATCGCATGTAAAGATAGATTATAACTGGGGTCATGTTCAGAAAAAAAAACTTAAATTTGGGAGCAACTGTTAATTGTGGTAGTACCTATCAATTATGAGATTAATTGTTAGCTGACTATCAACAAATTGTTACTTGTAAAATAGATAATTAAAGTATGAGTAGTGCTTGATAAAGTAGTTGTTGATTAGATGTAAAAATAAATTATTATTTTTTATCCTAATTATTTTATCTCTAGGTAAAAACTAGCTCTACCACTTTATAATATTTTCACCTTTACATTGCAAAAAACTCAAATCTAAGTAGTACTCAAATTATTAAAAACTACTCAAAAACTAGTGTTGAACACGCTTACCTTTATTGTTACAATTCATTCGTCTATACAATTTATTTCACAAAAAAACTTTTCTAGACAAAGCACACATACAGTCATACTAATTACCAACTACTCTTAGCTTCTAATTACCCATCTACCTCTTTATTTGTACATTAGTTGGATTGTTGGAAAGCCAATTTGTTCAACTACTTCAGTAATTAAAAAGAGAATCTTCTTCACTACTACCTAGCAAGTAGCAAATTTGTGTATATGATGTATAATCTTGACTAAGAGCCAAATAGTAGGCAGTGGCGGATCCAGGATTTTCGAGATAGTGTGTCACCATCAATTATTGATCATTTGTGAAAGTACAATTTATCACATCCCATCATCGTCCACCGACCGCATAAAATATCAAAATATAGTCAAAGCTTGAATAATGAACAAAAAAAATACATAAAAAGTTCATTTCATAAAGTAATTCAAATTCATATTACAACTAAAAAAGTACTAATTTTATTACAATTGCTCTCGACGAGTTTTCATATTTTGATAACGATGTACAATATCATCCATGCTAACATTGTAAAACAAATCTCTTTCTAGATAAGTAATCAAACAATCATTCAACATTTGATCTCCCATGCTATTACGCAATTTATCTTTTACTTGCGTCATTCCAGAAAATACTCTTTCTACACTTGTCGTTGCAACGGGAAGAATCAACACTAACTTCAAAAGTAAGTAGACTCGATCATGAGTTTCAAACTTTCCCGTCTCAACAAGTTTCGTAGAAAGTTCACTTAGACTTTTCAAATTCCAAAATCTCTCATCATTTCGAACATCAACAATGAAATTTTCAAGTGAATGTTCAAAAAATAATAACTCAGAGCTTGAAAATTCATCGGGATAAAATTTGGCAAGTTGAACTAACTTTCTTTTGTCAAAAGAATGAAACCGATTTGCAAGATTAAAGCAAGACATACACACAAGTAATTCCTTACTTACCTCGGGAAATCGATTTTCAAGTTCTTGTAATTGAAGATCAATGACATTTAGGAAGACTTCAACTCTAAAATGATGAAGATTAGTCACTTGTGGACCTTTACCTCTATACATTCTTCTCCCAGGAACAATATACTGCCCCTCCATGTTTGGAACCTCAATGTCATATTTAGCCATAAAAGAAGTGACTTTTTCCATATGTGAATCCCATCCTTCATCTCTTAAGTTTTGCAAATTAGTCTTGGTTACATCAACCATGACCATTGCATTGACAATATCTTGATCATGTTTTTGCAATGCCACATTCAACGCATTTGTAATTCCAAATATATCAACCATCAAGTGTGCTACAAACACAAAATCAAATGACATCAACAAGTGTGTAATAGATTGTGCTTTATTCGAATCAAGTGTATCAGATACTTCTGCAATGGAATCAAGTGACAAAAGTATTGAAGGATATAAATCAAGCACATTCAAAATGGTTTTAAAATGAGATCCCCAACGAGTATCACAAGGTCTACATAAGCCACGTTCTTGATTTAAACCAGTTCCCAATTCAATTTCACCCAAGGACAATGCTTCTACAACCCCTTGACGTTGTTTTTCTCGAAGAAATTGTCTCCTCTTAGGTGAACCTCCCACAAAGTTCAAGAGAGGTGCAAGTACATCAATAAAAAGCCAACCACAATCTGAGTTTTTCTTAGCAAGAGCAACTTGTGTCAATTGAAGTTGGTGAGCAAAGCAATGAACAAAGTATGCTTGAGAACATTCATTCAAAATTAGAGTTTTAAGACCATTGATTGAACCTTGCATATTACTTGCCCCATTATAACCCTGACCTCGAACTTGAGAGAAAGTTAAAGAGTGTTCCATGAGTAATGACTCAATAGCAGCTTTTAGAGTCAAAGAACTAGTATTAGGAACATGCACAATACCAAGAAAACGCTCACACACTTCCCCCTTTTTATTAACAAATCTCAAGCAAAGTGCCATTTGTTCCTTATCGGAAACATCGGCAGATTCATCAGCAAGAATAGCAAAAAATCCACCATCAAGTTCTTCCAATATTGCTTTAGTTGTTTCGTTTGCAAAAGCATTGATTATATCTTTTTGGATACTTGGAGAAGTAAGTTGACAATTACCGGGGGCCATTTTAAAAACAACTTTGGAATACTCAAGATCATGGTTTGAAAGAAGATTTAATAATGAAAGAAAGTTACCTCTAGACAATGAACTTTCCTTTTCATCATGACCACGAAAAGGCAACCCTTGGAACAATAGCCATCTGATGGTTTCAATTGAAGCTTCCAATATCTTACGATAGGCACTCATGGTTTACGCCGTTTGTTTTGATAAAGCGGTGGCAATGCTACTCATTTGATTCACGAATAAATTCATAGCAATCACAGCATTATTGTGAGCACTCTTGTGTCCACCAACATGCTTTACAATTGTGTTTCTTCTATTCCAATATCTGAAACCTCCATTAACAAAAGCATCGACTCCTGCTGTGTTACTATCCTTAAATAGATAACAAATGAAACAAAAGGCATCATCTTTCTCAACACTATACTCAAGCCATGTTGGCCAAGTATCAAACCATTGAACACAAAACCGACGTTTTTTCGGCCCAAAATTTGTTTGAGGAAACACATGATCTTTAGGTTGACATGGCTTTCTTTGAATGTATGTTCTCCGCACTAAATCCCTATCATCGGGATGAAAATCACACATCCTTCTTCTTTTTCCGGGGTCTTGTGGAAGATTAATAATATCAAGTGCACTTAATCTTCCTTCACCAATTTGAGCACTAGGATCCGAACCACCTTGGTAAGAATATTGTCCATCTTCATTTTGAGGGAAATTGTGAGAGGGGGAAGAATTTTGTTCACTTGCATGATGTGAAGGAGTATTTGGTTCACTTTCTTGGGAATTTTGTTCATTTTCTTGTAGTGGAGGATTTGGTTCACGTTCTTGAGAAGGTAAATCATTTTGTGGAGGAGGAGGATTTAGATTAGGCACTTTTTTAGTAAAAAAAACTTGAAATGTCTCGAGTTGTTTTTCTTTTCATTCTGAAATTGAAGTTAAAGGGTGAATGAGATAAATCAATCTAAATGTTTGACTTATCCAAATTTCCCACAATGATAACCAACAAGAAAACTACTTTACACCACGATAAAGATGTATAAGCATAACATTTCTATTAATCCAACTATCACAAAAATAGCATATAATCAAAAACAGAATCAATGAACATTGTAATAAATTTCATACAAACAACTACCACCCATTTTCGTTAACCTTTCTTTTATAAAGTCAAATTATTATTAATCCATCATACTCTCTAATTACTTTTTTTCTACCAACAAATCAACATCAACAAGTTATAAAACATGACTAAATCAACTAGTGTAAAGGGTTTGTCACAGGTAAAGTTGGCCTCTTTGAGTCTTTGATAACCAATTTTGCCCAATTTCACAGCCACCCCCTCCCCTTGACCCCTTCCCTGCACCACCACCGAAACCAGTAAGGCAGACAGTGAGACAGGCAGTAAGCCAGTAAACCACCCTAATTCCCTAAAATAGCACAATTTACACAAATACACAATAGTTATAGGCTTATAGAACTACAATTAAATACACGGTTAACAAAAATAAATATACAAATACAAGTACGATTAACCCCCATTTCAATTTCTACTTCCATTAACAAAAAATTCGTACACCATTTGTCAAATTGTCAAGAGTAAAGAGTTCAAGATCTAACCTGGCTGTAGGCAGTAGGCTGCTTCAATGAAGGAGCGAAGCTCAGCGTGAGGCGTGACTCAGAGCCTCTGAAAGAGTGAAAGTACGAAGCCCCTTCAATGGAGAATTTCGACCCTGCAATTATCAACTCATTTATCAACCCACAATTATCAAAATTCGAATGATTGACTCAATTATCAACCCACAATTACCAAAATTTGAAGAACCCTAAATAATTACAGAAAAAGAACTTAAACAAGATCTAACCTTTGACTCCTTTGAGATTGCTTCGGTGGAGAAGAAAAAGCTCAAACGCCCCTTCAATGGAGTTTTTGCGAGTAGCCGACTAGCCGAGTATGCTTGAATGCTTGAAGCTTCAATTCTTCAATGGAGCCATGGAGGAGAGAGTAGAGAGAAAGAGAGGGGATTAGGGGAAGCGTGGCTGTGTTGTAAGGGAATTAGGGGTTCTGGGTCTTTGGCCTTTGGGAGTGGAAAGATGCGTGAGTGAATGTAATTGTTTTTTTTTTTTTTCAAAATTAATAGTGTGTCACCGGACCCACTATGACACTAAGTTGGTCCGTCCCTGATAGTAGGTATAATGTAACTGTTATACTCTACTCAATATTCCATTAGTATGCATATCAATAAAGTAACATATTACGAGTATTATATTATGCATTTGTAATTGATTTAGCATTAAGGTGAAAGTGCATTATCCGAATCTCATTGTTGAACTGCTTACTTCAGTTGACCAACCAAACCCAACGTAAGGTTTGTGTATCATCACTTAATTAATTAGTTAATTATATTTTAGACGTGTTCAACGGGCTGAGGGATACTCCGACCCAACCCAAGCCACCCTATATACTTGGCCCAAATTCAAGTCTTCTTGAGGAGAGGAAATATGATTAAATTTGGGCTTGGGATTATAGAGTTGTGTTTTAGGCACAAAACCTCAATTTAATCATCATACCTCAGAATATTAACCATTTGATTTGAACATGAAAACAGACCAAAACTGAAATTCATAAATCACTTTGTCCAATTACAAGAGAAGTGAACACTAACAGACAATGAATTTCAAAAACCACAATGTTCGCGCCTAAATACACAACTCATGTGGTGTATATAACATAAGGTTGATTAACAAAAGCGATCCATAGATTACCATGAATTTCTGTAACCTCACTCGAATCTGTTATCTCAAATGTATCCAAACTTTCTAATATCATTCCAGACTCATCAACTCTAATTGGTTTAGTTGGATTTTTTGCAATCCAAAATTGTCCGTCGACATTTCTGTTAATATTATCTGGTAGCCCAGTAAGTTGGAGAAAAATCTCATTAATTCTAGCTTTAGGACCCTTGAGCCAATACCTTAAAATGCGGCAAGCACTTGTTTCAGCTACTAGAATAAAACCCTTGTTCTTGCTTAATGCAACCCCATTTGCAAAATATAGATCTCTCAGCAATACTGTCAAGGCTTTAGTCTTCATATCATATTTTATCAATCTTCCACTCCGTTCAAATGTGGCTATTGCCTTCGGATATTCCCTGTGACATACATTTTATTAAAAAATATATATATATGTAAGCCGAACAATAGTATTGGTGAATTGAGAACATTAACTTTATGAGTTCGTTAAATGGCATACCATCGATGATAAGTAGAACTAGTATCAGTAAAATAAACAACTCCATTCTCAGAGTCTATGTCTAGGTCATTTAAAAATTTGAATGGAATCTCCTCGGCACTAGTTGCAAGTGAAATGGCTACACCACCATTACGATTTACCTTCACCAAGCCATAACTAGAGTCCACAATATACAATTCACATGTTACCATATCGAACTTTAGGCCTAATGGTCTGCCACAAGTTTGCTCATTTGGTGAATTGTTAGTCCCGTCACACAAATTAGACCTGTAGATAAATCATAGCACATACGAAGTATTATAAAAAAAAAATAGATACAAATTAAAAGAAACAAACAACATCATTAGACTATTTTTCAATGCAAAAGTGGAATTGAATAATTACACAGGAACAAAATAATTACACAAAAGAAAAAAGTTTAAAGACTAAGCAAAAGTTATTAAATTAGTTGCTGCATGCAAAAAGGTTTGTAGTATCCTGTCAAACATCTCTAGTGTAAAAAAGGCCAGCTAGCACCAAATATAGAATTAAGTCTAAATTAGCATGATTATTATCCCGTAGCCATAGACTAAAACTATTAAAATCGACATTTAAATTAAGAGGAAGGTCTTGTTTAGTTCACCTTATTTTTACTTATTTCAGAAAAAATAAATTCAGATCAGAAAAAATAAGTTTAGATCTGATAAAAAAAAATAAGTTCAGATCAGATCAGAAAAGTTCAGATTAAATACAAATTATTATTATTATTATTATTATTATTATTATTATTATTATTATAAAAATTATTATTATTATTGTTGTTGTTGTTGTTGTTATTATTATTATTATTAATAATAAATAGCACAAACTATAAACGATAATAATTAAAATTTCATTATAAGCTCCAAATCATAAACGTTTACAAATATAATTTTCATTACAAGAAGTTCAAATTTCCTTCGCTATATTAAGTTGTACTTCGTTCATTACAGCTTTACGATTCTCGTTAAACAAATCATAATCTGCTCTTGGTTCAATTATTATACCACTATCAATGGGTATATCCAACTCATGTAATCGAATAAAATTGTGAAGTGTGAATGCAGCAATCATAATTGCCAATTGATGTTTAGTGTCCATATTTGGCATCATTGTCAATATTTTCCATCGAGATTTTAATTGTCCAAAACATCTCTCGATCGTTGTTCGAAGTGAAGAGTGAAGATAATTAAAAAGTTCAAGTATGCCTTGAGGTGGTGGACCATTTCGAAATTGGTAAACGTAATAATATATGGATAGGATAAGGTAAAAAAATGAATATCTTCGTACTACATATTATGTATATTTTCATTTTTTTTTTAATTTCATATTTTTGATAACAAGCCTAACGTTTCCCATAAATAAAAATTTCTATATTTCATATTTTCTTTCCTCCTATTATGTCAAATACTTTTGCTTTATACAATTTTTTATTCTTCCACTTACCCCATCCATATATTATTACGTTTACCAATTTCTCCCAAAACTCCCCACATGTAAAAATGGAGAAGGTATTTAAAATCCAAGGGAGTATACGTACAAGGTTTTCAATAATAATAGCTACGCATTACTAAAATTAAAATTAGTACAAAGTAACATAGAAAATGTTGCTAGTTTAAACAAACGATAAAATCAAATCCGATACATCATAAATCCATATTATTATTTAAGAATTAAGGTATTTAAAAACAAGTCAAATCTCCTTTTTTCTATGTAGAAAAAAGCTATGATAAATTTAATCTGTAATTTAGTTTTTTTAGGATCCCCATTTTAATACTTTCTTATAAAAAAAAATTCATTTATGAAGTGGGATACTGTAAATAATAAAATTATCAAATATTCCAATTCTATTACCTTATGCTATCTAGTAATTTTAATACTTATAGGTTTCTTTAAAATATTTGTATTAATAATAATAATAAATAATAAATAATAATAATAATAATAATAATAGTAGTAGTAGTAATAATAATCATAACAATAATAATTAAACATTAATATCGATTAACATTAAAAGTAGAATATTGAAATAACTGAAATAAGTTCAAATCAGAAAAAATAAGTTCAGATTATATCTGATCAGAAAAAATAAGTTCAAATCAGAAAAAATAAGTTCAGATCAGATCAAATCAGAAAATATAAGTTCAGATCAGATCATATCAGAAAAAATAAGTTTAGATCTGATCAAATCAGAAAATATAAGTTCAGATCAGATCAGATCAAAAAATATCAGTTTAGATCAGATCAGATCAGCTTAAATCAGGTGAACTAAACAAGGCCGAAGTCCAAGTTAATTACTGGGATAAACAAAAATTGTTTATCACATTGCCTCAAAAAAAAATGTTTATCACATATTATTTTGTTAAATAAATCAGCAACTCTATCTAGTCATCATCACTGTAAGACCCGCTTTTAAAGAAAAAAGTTATTGATTAATATACGAAAATGTCATTTGATAAACAATAATTGTGTATCTCAGAGATAAACTTGTATTTTCTCTTAAATTAATTAATGTTAAATATGTCGTTATTAACCAAGGGAAAAGTGTTTTCAAAGAAGCTAGCTAGGCATACCTGTTTGAATTGGTTATAGCAAAGACAGTCCAACTACGTCCTTCCCACTTGAGTATTCGACCATCAGAGACTCCCACGTATGGACCCGTACCTTGGCAATCGAATGCTATGGACTCGGGTCCAACTGCATTGAGTCCTAGTGGAAGTCGATAATAATGTCTCGTACGAGGTTGCGATCCAAACACATTTCCCCTAAAGGGAAAGATAGCTTGAGCCAAGAAGATGGTTGAGAAATAAAATGTATGAACAAAAGGACACAAGTTGTACGTTGCAACTTCATAATAGCTAATTTAACAATGAGATTGGAGTATGTTTTTATGTAATTTGTACGTCTGAAGAGTTTATAAACAAAGAAAGTGCATTGATTTTGTTCAAGGAGCATTAACGTTGCAACTTCATAATAGCTAATTTAACAATGAGATTGGAGTATGTTTGCATTTTGTACGTCTACTGAAGAGTTTATAAACAAATAAAGTGCATTGATTTTGTTCAAGGAGCATTAAAAGCACTCAACAACTAACAAAATGTTGTGCAGCATAAAGGCTAATTATATATAGCAATTGGCGAATTAAGATAATACGACTTGTATGCATGCATTATTTAGGAAATAGTGTCTTGTACGACTTCGTTCAATTAAAACTAAAATTGGATCTTTTGACCTAATTCCAAATTGGTTGAGAGTTGAGAGCGAGTTTTAAAGAAATAGGTCCCTAGCTATTAGCTATGCGCTATTAAATTGGAAACCATAGTTCAAAAATATGGTTTATTTTTATCTGCTGTTAATTCCATGAAAACCTAGATTAAAGCAATAACCAAGGCAATAGTCCAGTACAAATGTAAATTATTAAATTATCTATTAGATCTTAAATTATCCTTTTAAATCCTTCCAATCAATATATATACTTGATACGTAATACTATTAAAAGGAAAGGAAAATAAACTGATCCAATTCTATTACGTGTTTGACTTGATCCAATTCGTTCAACAATATTCTAATACTCGTAATAGAATTGGATGAGTTTATTTTCCTTTCCTTTTAATTGTATTACGTACCAAGTATATATATTGATTGGAAGGATTTAAAAGGATAATTTAAGCGCATATCCTCTCTCCCCTTTGTTCCCTTCCACAAATACTATCAAAACATTACGTAAAAGAAGAGGACTATCCCAAGCATGGAAATGACGATGATTCATTAACGAACTACGATATGGATGAGGATGGCTGACACATTAGCTAGGAACTTATTCTTCGCAACTAAGCTGTTTTAGAGCACTACCTATTTTTGTTGTATAAATATTCTAATTATGCATAATAGTGTTTCTTACTCTTGTTTGCTTAATATCTTTTAATTATAGGCTGATAAACAAAAGTGATGAAAGATTTTGATCTGAAATATATAAGACGTGTCTATGTCTAAAACGATCTCAAATTATAATTCTTATGCTTGTGTCTAAAAACATGGCAAATGTTTAATAACTAGAGTATGTAGGACATTTAATTAGATCATATGGATCGGAGTAGTATGCTAGAGAAGAAAATGTCATATGACTCATTATACTCATGTCACATAGTACTTTGAATCATATTTAATACTCCGTAAAATCATACTAAAGCATTTTAAGTTTAAACTATTTCATGAGAAGAGAACATGTTCTTGATTCTAAGTGTTATTTATCTCAATGATCTAAAATGTTTTGAAAAAAAAGTTACACTTCATAAACAATAACGTAACACAATTTGGTCCAAAAACTCCAAATACAAGGTTGAATTTCTTAAAGGATCAAAGCTCGCTAGAAATATGTTTACTTAAACTTTTTTTGTTTAAAATAAGTCAAAATAAAATGACCAATTATTGTTATTTCACTCGGATGATGCCCTTCCTCCCTACACCACCACTACATTCATAATTCATTGACATACTACTATACCAACTTGAGACTCAAATAACGGTGACAACATTATGTTTTAAATATTTCACACCATTTTAATATAGATGTCTCTAAATTTTTCCACAACTTATTTATAAAAACTTACTAGTAATTTAATTCCCAAGACATCCTCTAAGAATTAATAATTTCAATATCTTACATCGTTTTTCCTTTTTTAAAAAAAAAAAGAAAAAGAAAAAGAAAAACCCTATGCAGTCCATGTCCAATTGTCCATGATATTGAATAAAATGCGAAGATCATAAAATAAGAAAATACCATTCCATATAAAAATAAATAAAAAGAAGGGGCAAAAAATATTCTAGGAAGTACTTTATATTTGTCCTCAACACCAAATTGACTGGTGTCCAATTGTCCATACCACATGCACAGCATCTCACATTCTATCTTCCTCCTCCACACTATTATAATAATTTAATTAACTTAAATCTTCTACTCCGTATTATTATTACAACTTGCACCAAATCACACCATTCATTTCATTTAAAATTCATAAAATAACAAATTAATAATTACTCATAACAATAATTATAATAATTTGTTACAACTTTGATGTTTTCCTCATCCAACACCATCATCATCATTCATCAAACATCATCCATCATCATCATCATCATCATCATCATCATCATCACATCTTCTTTTGTTCATCCATTTTCACTCTTTCTTCTCTCTCTTGTTCACTTCACTACACTCCCACTAAAAATCTCAAAAAATGTTATCACTCCCTAAACCCCCACTAATTTCCCATCTTACCCTCACCACATTCATCTTCATCTTCTTCTTCTTCATCCTCCCAATTCACAGCTTCAACATAACCCAGATTCTCTCCCATTACCCAGATCTCTCCGACTTCACCTCCCTTCTTTCAAACTCCGGCATCTCCTCCGACCTCAACCACCGCACTTCCCTCACTATCCTCGCCGTCCCTAACTCCTTCCTCCGCTCTTCCTCCCCTTCTCTCCCCTCCGATTCCCCCTCCACCCTCGCTGACGTCCTCCGCTACCACATCTTACTCCAATACCTCACTTTCTCCGATCTCCGGCGAATCCAACCCGCCGGAACCCTAGTTACCACTCTCCTCCAAACCACCGGAAGAGCCCCCGACAACCTCGGATCTCTCAACGCTACCTTCAACCCTTCTAATGGCGGCATTTCATTTCACCCTCCCAACAACAACTCTGTTTCCTGTAACATTCTCTCTCTCCTCAAAACGGTGCCGTATAATCTCTCAATCTTCACCGTTGATTCTCTCCTCGTTCCGTACGGCTTCGATCTGATGGCGTCGGAGACTCGCCCGCCTCCGCCGGGGTTGAACATCACCAAGGCATTATTCGATGGACATGATTTTAATGTCGCCGCTTCGATGCTATTAGCTTCAGGGGTAGTTCAGGAATTTGAAGATGATGAAGGTGGTGCTGGAATTACCCTTTTTGTCCCTACTGATGAAGCCTTTGCAGACCTTCCACCGACTGTTCAATTGCAAGCATTATCGGCGGATAAGAAGGCTTTGATTCTGAAATTTCATGTACTTCATTCGTATTATCCTCTTGGTTCGCTCGAGTCGATTGTGAACCCGGTTCAACCCACGTTGGCCACGGAAGATAACGGTGCTGGTAGTTTTACTCTTAATATATCCCGGGTTAACGGCTCGGTTGCGATCAACACGGGAATAATTCAAGCCGTGGTGACTCGAACCGTGTTTGATCAGAACCCTGTTGCTATTTTTGGGGTTTCTAGTGTACTGTTGCCTAAGGAAATCTTTGGGGATGATGGAAAGGGTAAAGAGGTAAATTTGAGAGGTGGTAGTGGGAGTGGGCCGTTTATGGGGGCCCAACCTCCGGTGGTTGGGCCTGCACCGGAGAATTCGCCCGGTGATGGGTATGGTGGGCCGAGCCATTTGTCGTCGCCGCCCGGGTTTACATCGGAAGGAGGAAGAGGAAGTGGAAGGAGTTGGATGATGTTTTGTATAGCATTGTTGTGTGTATTGATATCATAAGAAATTTGGTTGATTGATTTTGATCCTCCTTGGCTCCTTCATTTCTTGGTAAATTATATACAAGTATAATTTATTTGATTTGATACTATATTTATTTTTCAATGGATTAGTTATATACATTATGTGAGTTGATATGATAGCTTAGGTAGCATGAAAATTGGGGGAAGTTGGAGCAATTTCTATTGAGAATTGTTAAATAACCCAGGTAAGAATTTTCTTCAAATTTTGTTGTATTCTTTGTTATTGAGATTGTATAAAAGCGTGAGAAATGAATTTCAAACTATTATCATAGTATCATACTATTGTTGTTATACTGTAATTTAAGTAGTACTCAATATTGATGAAATTGATCACAATGTATGCAAATTGAGTTGGGGTAATGAAAATGTGGATGGATAATCTGGTGCTGATTTTGGTGGTTAAGAAAGTGGGTGTGTATAGATAGAGTGGAAGAACAGGTTGGATCTTTAATGTCGTAAGCTGACAGCTTTTAAGAATGAAGACTTTGAGACACCAAATTGTACAACTACTGTACTATATTTTGATGTCCTTGTGTTTGTGTTTGTGTTTGTTGTCTCCCTCTTTCTTACAAAATGAGAGTACTAAATTTGGTGATGCTGTTGCTGGCAGCCAGTATCACCTGAGGTACAGTAACCCAACAAATTTTTCATGTCATTTGGCTTCTCTCTTGCCAAAGTACTCGTATGAATCTTTCATTAGATTTTGGTTCTGGTTAAATATACAAGTAAATACTCTGATAATTAATGGTACGCTGCATACATTCCAGTGTACTAAACGAGGTTTATTGTTTCTCCACCCGTCTCCAACAAATTTGTTTAGTGTTAGTGTCACTTGTGTGTACGGGCGAGTTGGTGACATTGGCGTATGGAACTATGGATGTATGCCTAGAGCTAGAGGTGAAAATGGACAAGCTGTCAATGATTAGAAGCCTGCATGAGGAATTGAGGAGTTCAGTTCATCAACAAGTTGTTACAGAAGCCCTACCACTTGAGTGGCTTTGTTGTTAGCCCAAGATATTTGGGCTATGGCCCATGAATGAGGCTTCATTCCCCTTTTGTTCAGGCCCATCTAGAGACTTGATTTCTTATTAACACTTCTCATCTGGTCACATATGCCTATCCAAAATCCTAAATATTTTTTAACTCTAAAATGTATTTTATCTACTAGTATCAAATTATATGGTCTTCATACTTTTAAATTCAAAATATGATTTTCAACTTTATTAATTTCATCTTCAATATTTTGCAAATTAAATTAGGACCTATACACTTTTTGTGCGCGAACCATTATTTTATATACTAAAAGTATGCTTCATATATTTCTTATTACTATTAATTAGTAATCATCTATTCCAGATCTTGTTGGGAATACAGTACAAAGAGATTATCTGAATACTTGGAAATTTGTCAACTGGTAATATGGTTTTGAATTTTGGTAATTTATCTTTTATCACTATATTTTGTGAGTCCATCGTTAAATTTTCGTATTGAATGATAGGATATATTTTGTTATCATAACATTAATTTTGTGTGACATAACTATATCCTTAATAATTTTATTAAAAAAAAATCTGGAGTTTAATTTATGGAAATAGAATTCCTATTTCACAAGGAATATCCTTTGTTTAGGTAATCTCATAAGATTTCTATGCTGAAATTATGTATATATAATATATTATATATGTTTCAAATCTACAATGATAATTGTGTGAGCTTAACCTAACAACGAACTAAACCACAACCAAAAAACAAAAACAAAAAAAACCTACATAATTTTTCGCATTCAATTCAACAGCAGCCGTAATGAACATGTCCAAAAATCTTTTTACACTAAACCCAAAAAAGCTCGTCTCAAATTTCAGGGTGAGTATTCAACTACGTTACCAAGGTAGAGACAAAGTAATGATATGGGGAGTGAACGTGTTAGATAACAATGAAAAATCTGATGGAGTATTGATCAAGTTTTTAGAGTCCGAAGATTTCAAGCTTCATTCAACAATGCAAAAAATAGTGTCAACAATTGAATGGAGAGAAGAATTTGAGGTCGAAAGTTTGGTTAATAGAAAATCGGAATCAGGGTTTCGGGTGTATGGCGTGGACTACAAAGATCAACCAGTTTGCTATGTTAACCTTTCAGATTGGTGTGATAATAACATGTTGTCTATTTTTGGTTGTTGGGTTCAATTGCTAGAAAAGGAAGTTCGAACTCTTACTTTTTCGAAAACACATTCAACTGTCTTTAGGATTGTTGATGTTACCGATACTTCCAAGGCCCAACGCCAATCTATTTTTCATGCTTTTCAAATCACCGACCAATATTACCCTAACATCGTCAAGGATGGATGAGGTACGTATTTTCGACTACCAACTACGGGGGAATTTTTTTTATTTTTACTTTTATTTTTATTTTATAATATCCTATACTCGTTATGTTAATAGTGTATATGTCGATGCACCAACTTGATCAACAATGTCTTTAATTATAATAAACTATATTTACTGTGATGATTCTAATAATAAATCACATAATCATATGGGATCTTGTTTGAATCGTCTTAATGTATATTTTATTAATATTCACTTTTTATAATTTTACAATGTTGATAATGAGAGATATAAATCGTTAAAATTGTGTGTTAGCAAACGTGATAAAAGAAACGTGTCATCTAATAAGGAACGGAGGAAGTACATGATTACATACTATAAAGATGATCTATTGTCACAAGGAAGCAATAAGTAATGCAACTATGAATCTTTCATCTGATTTTTACTTATCTGAACTTAACTTAATAAATTATAATTTGTATTTGGATAACTCATAAAAAAAAAATTATGTTATCATAAATCATAATCATAACTTTTGTAGGGTGACTTTAAAAACTATATTTTAAGTTAGTGAAAATCTGTCTTAATCAATAATTCATGGTTGTGCATTTTATGACTCAAAGAATTAATTCATACGTTTTCCGTTCCTTCAAATGCAGCTTTTCCTACCTATTTTGTAATAATGAAAGAAGTACTTTTTTTTTCTTTTAATTATTTTATTATTTTAGTATTTTATTTCTTTCATATACTCCGTACTAATTTTGCAAATTTTATGTTTTGTTTCATTAAGATTTACATAACTGGATGGATCTATAACATTCCCAGCTATATCCGAAAAAGAAGCCCTTGTACATATAGATACATTGCTCATCAACAGATTTTCGAGTGAGTCTCCTTCCTATATACGAAGTATTTTTTTTTGGCTTGGCAAGTTGGCAATGACGAAGTATATCTAAGGAGTAAATTGTGAAATCTATTTTACCCATAAAAAATCATGCTTAAATTAAATTGTTTTTAGTTTTAAATCTCTGTTCTTTTCACCTAACTTGTTTTTGTTGAAAATGAATTTAAATTATTTCTACATTTTAAAAATATAAGAATACTTTATTGATACTTAATACGAAATACTTGATACTTTTGTAGTTTTTTATTTTTTAGGAAATGATACTTTTGTAGTTAATATCTAACAAGGTTACATGACTGTAAATATTTGGCTTTATAATCTCACAAAAATAATTAAATAGTCATATATGTATGTTGCAGGTATGTACCTATTGTGCATGTTCCTGTTGAATATGGTGGCATCCCCCCTATTGTACAAGATAAAAGTTATGAAACTATAGGACGCCATATAGACTTTTTTACATGAGAAAATGTGGTGTTCTACTATTCTAAGGTTAGCAATTATCTATAGAGTATATGGAATTGCCTCATGCTTAATGATTTGATTTGATAAATATCGTAGAAAGATAATATTTGTCGTATATCTAAGATATACTTATCATTAAAATATATCTTAAATCTGTGATAAATATTACTTTGTACTATTTCTCATAATATCTATCACTTAACATAATTATTCAATTAATTTTTTTTTCTTCGATAGGGGAGTGAAATTACATTGCGAGCAAAGGTTATAGAATGGGATGATGTGTCATATGGCATCAACTTTGTTGGTGAAAGCACACAAAAATCATATTGGCCTCTTAGACGCATGGTTTTGTCTGATAAAGCATATGAGGAATACAAGATCAAAAATCTCCCAGAAGATGGGATACTGTTTCTTAGTGTTTATAGTACCGGCTTTTTTAATTTTAAGAAGAAACTAGTCTACCTTTTGACTTCATTTCCACAAGGTTCTTTTGTGGAAATACAAATAGAGAAAGGAAAAGGGAAAGGGGAAAAGGAGCTAAACGGTCTTCAAGGACTTCAAAAGAAGGCGAATGAGATTTTTAATCGAGTGAGTATATTGCTGCCTGATGAAACGGACCAGTATAAAGTGACTACTTGACCTATAGAGGATATTTTTTTTAGATATATTGAAAACTAGGTTAAATTCTATGCATTCATAATTATTTAAATCTACTGTTAATGAATGATAATTATTTAAGTCTTAGTATTTCATGTTTAATCTTTATAAATTTATTTATGGTCGTATATTTTTCATTGATTTTTTTGTTTTTGTTTTTTTTTTAATGTAAATAGTAGGATTAATTGAATTCAAAATATTTTAATTCGAATTAAATTTTAAGTTATAAAATAATGGTACAAATATATAAAAAAAATTGAATAATTTATGAATCCATCAGGGGGGGTTTTTTCATCCAAAAACTTCTCAAACTGTGTTACCTCAACGGACAAAGTGGAGCAAATCACAGTGAAAAGTTGTACGATGAAAGTGAGTCTCTTCATCATATGGATTATCCTAGTGTAACTGTGTAACTAATCATCAACCCCTAACATGGTCAAAACTTCTGCCTAAAAGTCTCAACAACCATTTCACATGATTGGATTCTAATGGCAAATAGTGTTGACTAGAAATTGGGATGAAAATCTCATTTTTTGGACACACGTCATTGATGTAAACAAACTGTATACCCCCATTATACAAAGAAAATTGTATTCACTTAAGGTTATATATACCTTATTAACCATCAAGTATATCATTCTCAAATCACCATCATCATCATAACCATTAGCATAACAATCTTATAGCCATCAAGTACATCAAGGACAAATCACC